TTTAAACTGTAATCGCCGGGAAAAATAATATCTATCTTATTTTATATGGCATCTAAGCAAGATATTATTAATAATGTTTATTATGATAAGGGAGGCTTCGGGTCAAAGAACCGCACTTTACAAGAAGCAAGAAAAAAGGATAACACAATAACTATAAACGATATTAATGAGTTTTTTAGGAAGAATGTAGAACAGAAAGCCAAGCCAAGAGGACAGAATTCATTTGTAGCTCCTAACGCATATTATGAGTTTCAAATTGATTTATTTTTCATTAATGATATCCCTAAACAAAAAATGAAAGTTGGCATGATGTGTATTGACATATTTTCTAAGTATATGGTTGTTGTCCCGCTTATGTCAAAACAGCCAGCGGACATTTTAGCAGGACTGATGGAATGTATTAAAAAAATGGGTGGAAAGCCCAAACTAATTTATATTGACGATGAAGGAGCTTATAACAATCAAAGTGTTATAGATTTTTTGAAAGATGAAAAAATAGAATTACATAGAACCAGAGGTCACCCAGCATTCGCGGAGAGGGCGATAAGGACGTTTAAAGATAGCTTGTATAAGAGGGTTGAAAACGATGAGAAAAAAGGAAAGGCTATTCAATGGACAGACTACATACACGAGATTATATTAACTTATAACAATGGAATAAAGCACACTTCGCACGGCTTAACACCGTCAGAAGCAAGAAAGCCTAAACATCAATTAGAAGTGAGTTTAAATTTAGGTATGAAAGCCAAAAGAAATAGAGTTTATCCAGATTTAAATGTAGGAAATGAAGTTAAGATATTCAGGAAAAGGAGACCGAATGAAAAGGAGAGAGTAGGAGTATGGACTAAACAAACCTACAAAATAGCAAAGATTGAAAAGAAGTTAGGACAGGAATATTATTATATTGAAAATTATGACAGGGCATTTTTGAGACATGAGTTATTAAAGGTATAAATTTATTTCTTGGAAAAAAGTATTTAAAGAAATAAAAACTATATATATTATAATAGAAATGATGGAAACCGAAATCAATAATTATATCAATAAGAAATGCTACGATTGTTGCCACTTCAAAAAGGAAAATATGGAATTATACAAATTGAATTTACCTAATGGAATAGTTAATAATATTATTGATTATTCAATGGATGAAGAAGATATATGCGAAAATTGTAAAACCTGGAGAGATAATCAAGAATTAATCAGATGTCATTTAAATCTGAAAAGAAGACATAATAGAAATGTTGAAGATGACATCTTAATATTTTTAACTGTGTATGAAAGACCGCCTTACGCTTATGTTAAACAGTTTCTTAAAATCAGTAAGAAAAAGTATGACATGATTAACCACATTTTATGGATATTGTTATATCGTAGAAGAGAAGGGTTTGATGTAAAAGAAGACATTAAATCAAATATTGAAGATAAAAAGTTTAATGTTAAAAATACAGTGAGAGATATTAATATTATTTTTAAAATGATGTATGAAAGAGGTAAGATGTATCAATTAAATTATTATCCTGAACTTAAATTATAATCATAATATAATAATAACATGTAAAATATTATATGTTATAATTATATTTCAATATGTAATTGTATTTCTTGTAAAAAAGTATTTAAGGAAGAAATAAACACTATATATATTATAATAGAAATGATGGAAACCGAAATCAATAATTATATCAATAAGAAATGCTACGATTGTTGCCACTTTAAAAAAGAAAATATGGAATTATACAAATTGAATTTACCTAATGGAATAGTTAATAGTATTATTGATTATTCTTTGGGTAAAGAAAATTTATGTAAAATTTGTAGAAATTGGAGATATTACCAAGAAGCAATCGAATGTAATTTGGATATTAAAAGGTTTAATGAAAGAAATGTTGAAGATGACATTTTGATATTTTTAACTGTGTATAAAATACCACCTTATGATTATGTTAGAGCATTTATGAAAATCAGTAAGAAAAAGTATGAAATGATTGACTACATATTATGGATGGTGGAGTATCAAAGAAAAGAAGGGTTTGATGTAAAAACAATCATTAAATCACATATTGAAAGTGAAAAGTTTAATGTTAAAAATACAGTGAGAGATATAAATCTTATTTTTAAAATGATGTATGAAAGAGGTAAGATATATCAATTAAATTATTATCCTGAACTTAAATTATAATCATAATATAATAATAACATGTAAAATATTATATGTTATAATTATATTTCAATATGTAATTTTATTTCTTGTAAAAAGTATTTAAAGAAATAAACACTATATATATTACAGTTGAAATGTTATTTAATTATTCAAAGTGCGAATGTTGTAAAACTAAAAGGAATGATGTTAATATAACATTGTATAAGTTATTACCTGCTAATCTATGTAATAAAATAAGTGAATATGATGTATATTGTAGTCAATGCTGTATAACAAGAGACCTTGAAAAGTTTTTTGTTGAAGAACATAAGGATAAGGGATATACAAAGTTTCAATTACAATTGACATTCTTTATGAGATATCAAAAACGATGTCCTGTATGTTTTTACCATAAAATTGCTAGAAAGTCATTTGAAAAAGAAATTCATGAGTTCTTTAATAATAAAGATTTAATTAAGAGGTTTGGAGGGACAAGCGCAATTAAACCATATAAAGCATTTGTTAAAAAATTTCGAGGCATGTTTGATGCGATTGATTGGCATTTATTAAGTAAAGATAAAATAAACGAGGTCTTGAATGAATTTAGAATAACTAAATATCATGTATGGTCTTACTACAACACTAAATATCAAGTATGGCTACTAGTTAATTTGTTTTTCTGGGAATATATTTATTCAATAATAGGAAAAGACAATATCAAATATATAGACATTGGCGATATTGATAAATATGTAGATTACATATTTGAAGACATTTTTCCTGACTATAAATGTAACCCATAATTATTAATCATACTATAATAATAACATTTATACCCTTATATGTTATAATTATAATGTCAGTATAGCGTTTTATATATTGAAGATACAATCCTACAAGGAGGATGCGAGCGTTAGCGAAGCTCGCAAGCTATGCGACCACGCCCCAAAAAAATATATGATAAAAGTGATGAAACGAAGGAGGAGAGTGATGTTGTTGCTGTTCTATTTTTTGTCCGGGAAATGGACAAATCGTTTTTAGACAGTTCGAATATTTTTTTGATGACAAATATTTTTTGCAATATATTTTGCAAAATTTATTTTTTTGAAATGGATGAGGTGAGGAGATTGAGGAAATGACATTTTGGAGGTAGTTGGTGAAATGAATGAGGCGAGGAGAAAGGAGAAAAGGATGGCGAAAATTTTGGAAAAATGATGATAAAAAAACGGATGAGATGGACAGAAAGGAATGTAGAAAAATGATGAAAACAAATAAGGGTAGAAGATGGAAGATGAAAAAAAATGTAGGGGGGGGGTATGTATGAAAGCAATTTATTGCTGGGCAAGGCCCCCGACTACTATATCTCCCAAAGGGCGCCTTCCTGCGCCGCAGAAGAGGCGTAAGAGAGTTCCTCTACTTTGCCCCCCCTCTCCCTGTATGTGTGGATAAAAGTGGTGGGCGGGGGTACAATGAGGCAGGATGCAGGATGTGTGTGTATCGTGAGAGAATGCTACAAATATCCACAACAGAGCAAGGGTGAGATTAGTGGGAGATTCGTGGCTGCACCCATCTACAGCCTACTCTTAGGATCCAAGCAGAACCTATAAGCCCGTTGGGCGCCATTTTGGGGTCAAAATACCACAATAGAACTTACATGGATCCTCAAAAATATTCCAAACCCACTAGTATGAAGTCCAGGAATCCGGGGCGAGCCACACGTCCCCCTGAACAGGGCCGAAACACCACAGATGAACCCCAAATCACCCGGTACACGTGGAATCCCGTTGAACCAGCTGGTAAAAGTGGCCTTTCATTTGACCAACATGTGCCTTTTCAGGTTCTGTTTGATTTGGCCAAGGCATGTTTTGTTTTGATTAACAAAAGCTCGCCTCGAACACATCGACCCTCTGGGCAAGACGCTTGGCTCCATCCATGGGCCGCAGCGGCCCACGGCCGCTCTCCACCGCTATGAGCCGAGCGGAAAGCCATCGACTTGCCGAAGGGCCAAGACATAAAAAGTCGATGTTTGGGAATGACCGGAATCTCCCTACCGACCATGGTTCTCAGAACCTTAAGAGCTCATGAGAAGGTGTTTTCTTTTTTTTCTTTTTTTTTTCTCGGTTTCTCCCTCCAAAAAGAGCCGAACACCCAGCACCCTCCAAATATGCAGGTTGGGAGCCCCCGTGTTGCCAGCCTCTGTCGTCTCCTCCCAGCGTTTGAACACCTCTTAAAATGCATGAGCCTTAGGCAAGTGTTACCTGACGGAGGATAAGTTAAATCTCCTCAATCCTCAACAAAAAGCTGCCTAATGCATCAGGAATCCGTGCCTGAGTGCGAATCCGCGGTTCCCCTTCGGCTTTCCCAGAAAGCCCGACCGAAACACAGAACGGATCTTGATCATGACTCAGAAAACGCGTAACGCACTAAACTTTCCCAAGGTTGAAGTTCGCCATCCGCTTAAACAGGCCAGGCATTGCTCAAGGACGCCAAACCCAGAAAACAACATAGGAATGTTGTCGCTCTTGGATTTTGCATGCTTTTTGCTCGCCAGTCTGAAACTTGGCCAACCCAAACCTTTCGCGCAGATAACATCAATTTACAACTGGTCCCAAAAGTGACTGAAATCCAGAAACTCAGGCAGTTGATCCTTTCTGGGCAGCCCTCAGATCCCCCGCTAAAAGTTTAACTTTTAGTGGACAAAAATGGAAACTACCACTAAACACCAAAAGGCTAAAAAGCTAAGGAACCGGATGGCTGGGAGCCACCAAGCTTTGTGGAATCTGGTGAAATCGAAACAATGCGATGCTTCCTTTCAATCCGTTGCTTCGGTTGGGGAGGCGCCCACGAGTCAAGGCGCCGCCGGCGCGGCGCAGCTGCTCGGGCAGGGCTGGGCCATCCACAGCAACGATGCCGCAGCACAGCACGCAGCACTTCCTTCGATGGGTGCTTGGCTTGGCTTGGGGTTGGCTTGGCTTGGTAAGTTGAGGTTGGTTGGCTTGGCGTGGTAAGTTGGTTGGTTGGTTGGCTTGGCAAGTTGGTTGGTTGGTTGGTTGGTTGGTTGGTTGGTTTTGCTTGGCTGCTTGTTCACATGCTTGCTTGATTGCTCAGCTTCTGTATAAAGCTGCAACATTCCAACATTCATAATACAGAATTCGACATCTCAACTGAAAGCGGAAATTCGGGGCAGCTGGAAGACAACAAGCATTTTAGGAGCACCCTTTAACCAAAAGGACACTGCCCAAAGGATGCTGGAGCTGATTCCCTGTGAAGCGAACCCGGACATTTGCCCAAAACAACCGGTCAGTTTACTTGAACTCCGAGCTGTGCTGGAAGACAAAGCTCGGGCCTGTCAACTACCACACTTCAATTGTCATACAAGAGTTAGCAACAGGGATCGTCTCTTCCGGGAAAGCTAGCGGAAGTTCGTCTGGAAGCAATTGGTCAATCATGGTCAATCTTAACCCTTAGCCTCCAAAAGGCTTCAAAACCGTAGGGTCCTAAAAAGCCATCATGGGCACGATGCCACATATTGGGGCTTTGGAGACTTCAAGGGTTGTTTATGAGAGGTTTGGCGCACATGCAGACCGGTTGCTTGCTCTGCGGAACGTGCAGGAAACAGGCAAGTGGGTGGAACCCGTTGCATTGTGACCACTTGAGCTGTTTTTTGGGGCAGAAGAGTGTAACACTTTCCTATCAAACAGGCAGGGTAGGCTATCCGACTGCACGTGGCTTCAATGGGGACCCCACAAGGCACACATGGCGCATGTGTCGCCAAGCTTCAGCAAGGCTGCGGGGGCGCTGGGCGAGTTGTAGTCCTCTCGATCGCGCCGAGGTGTGCTAAAACATGATCGACCACTGGCCCGGGTCCCAAATGTGTCAAGTTTGAGGTGCCACTCGGCTGGTGAATGAGACTCTCGGGTATTTGAACATTTACCAAAGGAATATTACACACCAAAAGTGTATAACATCGAATAAAACAATTCTATACGCATATAAAATACTTTTCTAGGTTTCCCATTATGAGAAACAAACAGATCCGCCAGTCGGCCAAACATTCCGTTGCGCTGGTCACGGCGCTGGCGTCTCCCCGAGCGACTCCCGCTTCCGGACAGCTCTGGCCTCCAAGTCCGCGAGGCTGCGGCACTCGCAGGCGCGGCTGTCTGGCGGCACGTCCGGGCCAAGGTCCTCGTGCGTGTCTGTGTCACCTTCCACTGGGCGCAACGCGCGTGTACACGGCGTTCAAACAAGGGCTCGGCTAAACCTACATGAGAAACCAGATCGAGACTCTAGATTCCATTCCCCATGTGTGTCTGTGTCTGTGTGTGTTGCTGTGGATTTCGGAGGGTGCCCGATTGTGGGGGTTTAAGTCCAACCATGTTGTGGGGGCCCCCTCTTTGGACCAATGCCCTTCAACATGCCTTTCATTTTGGCACACCTGTTCACCAACTGAAACTTGAAATCAGAGATCCTTCCGAAAGGAACCTTCATGATTCATGGGGGCTCGAGATGGCTTGCAAAGTGTTTTTGGAGGTCGCGATCAGATTTGGTCACTTCCTGAGCGGGATGACTAAGAAAAGATTGAACTTCTTGCTTACTTGCAACAGAGCATGCTCAGAAACCCACACCCACATGCATGTGCATGTACACGTCCCCTCCTTGTTCCACGTCTCCAAAACCAGCTCCAACTGATTCGGCATTCCTTGGAGCGCTGCTGGTAACTGCGATAGGGCTTTGCCAACTCTGGGAAGCATCGGAACCAGTGTGAATCAACCATCTCTACGGAACCACCCCTCTTGGTCACCGGCTCTATCTTTGGAAGGTTGGCAAAAAGGGGCGCGGGAAAGACTGCGTCCACGTTATCTACCATCCATCTACCATCCCTGTGGTTTTCTGGGCTACCGTTTCTTTTCTGAGAGCTGGATCTGCAAGAATGATGATGTTGGAGCCCACCGCCCGACAGGCTCCTGGCCGTAAGCTGGCACAGCCTGGCCAAATACAAACAGGCTTTCCGGTTTCCCATATCCTGTGGCAACATGCAGTACCTGCTCTCAAGCTGCAGAACCCGTTCTTCAAGGTATAGTGGCACCTTTACTTCAAACGATTCCTTGCTTTCACGAAGGTTCCTGGCCGGAAAAACAAACATAGTGAACTAGTCCAAAGCAAAATAAAGCATGATGGGATGATTACGGGGGCCAGGCCAAAGCTATTATTTGTGTCAAAACGCTCAAAGGGTTGGTGGGGGATGGCAACCCCTTGGTCGCATTTGACTGCCTTGAGCCTGGATTCCTTTCAATGACTTGCATCCCTTGCTGAGATCTACTGGCCAGCCTAATGGCCCCTCACCACCGAGTAAAACGTTGCGCCGACAAGACAAACAGTGGCCCAAACACGGGATGGGTACAAAGGGTATACTTCGCGAGAAGGGATACGAGGGATACCTGCCCGCAAAGGTGGTTTACCAGAGGCATAGAAAGCGACACGTGCGGTGCTTCCCGAGGAACTTCCCCATTTGCCTGTAAGAACCAGGGCTTCAAATCCAAATCCCGACCCATCCAAGTCACCAGTTATATGGCTGCGTCTCGTTTTTGAGGGAACCCGCCTGTTGGTTGGTTTCAAAAGGAAAAGAAAGGAATCCGCAAGGAAACCGGACCGACTTCCAGTTTCTCCGTAAATGACCCGCAGAAAACTCGCTTTCGCAGGCAAAACACCGACGTTTTGCTTTTGGTGTCCCTTTATCCCACCAAAGACGGGAACCAGACCCATTTTTGCAACGGATCCTTCTCGTTAACTAGATTCAGGTCCATTCTTCGCACCTGGAAACTGACATGAAAACAATGTCATTTGATAGGTCCCAGCTTTTGGGGCGCATTTGAGGCGGGGAAACCCCATTACATCAGGCACCAATTGGAGAGGTTCGTGTTTGATCCTGCGGTCCGAGCTGCGCAGGCACCGCGCGCCCAGCGGGCGTTTGCCGTCCACGCGCACTGCGAGGTTCACCTGAGTCGTTAGCACAAAACCACCGTCTTTGGAAACAAGGGGGGTTCAAAACGTAAGCAACCTGCTTGAAGCCCCATGGGGTTGTGTGATAGACCCTCCAAACTCCAAACCAGTGGTTTCACTGAGAACCAACCTGCCCCAAATATGTTGGAGGGTTCATAACCGAAGGCCTTGAGCTCACTTCGTGGCGGTTGCGGGTTAACAAGCTCAGCCAGAGGCTGGAAGTCCTGTAAGAGCTTTGTCTGTGGCTGCGTGTCATGTACAGGGTGCTTCCCTCTAAACAGGAAGCAAACAGGGCCGAATGACACACACACACACGATACTTGACTCTAGTCCAGCTTATTCTGCCCCAAGCTGCCCACCTCCTAGGCGACGGGTTCAGAAAAGATGTTGGGTTTGATAACCGTGAGGTAGTCAAACTTGCGGGCCCAGTGTTCGAGACAATTTTGCTCTCCGGATTCTATATCCCCTGTAACATCGCCCCACCCAAGAGGGACTCCCACTTAAATTGGTCTCTAAACATAATGTTTTCCACAAGGGAGCCTCGCTTGAACTCCATGGCAATATATAAAGTGGCCCGTGGGTTCAATGGGACCGAAACAAAGGAAAAGAAAACGTAACCTGAACATAAGCTTAGCTAGTCCAATCGCAAAAGAAATGCAGAACACACAATCTGTAAAACCAAAAAGAAAAAACAATGTTTGTCTCGGGGGATCTCTGAAAAAAGGACACACCCACACCACACACCCGCCTCATACCATTTTTCTCAGCCGGCGCCGCTGTCGTCAAATCCCCGGCGCGAATGCTTGCGAGCGTTTTCGAACGCTCAGATCTCGTCGAAGCTGGGCTTAGACTTTCCTGCGAGAAAAAGCCTCAAGCCAAAGACGAGGAGCCATTTTGCCCCCAATCATACAGCATGCAAGATAAGGGCACGCCCCTGCAATGGGAGGGTCACCCTTGCAGGATGAGAAGTGAAAGTAAGCCTGCAAGTGTGCATACATGCGTGTATACATATTAGGATGCACATACCGTGCTTCTAACCGCCATTGGGAAACCTGAACAACAAGTGGTGTCTGAAGATCTGGAAAGCTTGCAAGTGGACTCCATGTCTTTGCAAACATCCAGAAACCCAACTCCATGGTGGACCCCACCCAAATGAGTCGATCCTTCTCGGACCCCCACGCACAAAAGCAACAACAAGCAAACACGTCCCGGCTCAGGGGAACCAAATGACAATCAACCTTAGGTAAACATACGGTTGATTCCCTCAACATTCCAAGTGCGCCTCTAGCTCCATTGCAGCTTTTATAACATGCACCGTACTCCCGTACAATTGGACATCCCACCCATACTGCGCGCCCCCCTTGCTTGCACTTATTCAAAATGGACACCGAATGGAAATGCATGAAAACCACACCGAGTTTGAGACAGACACACCTCATAGACCTAAATGGGTGTCTCGTTTTTGAAGGGTTCCCCCTTTGGATGGAGTTAAAGGGAAACCAACAAGGAAACCCACAATTTTATGAAGATGGGCCGGTGGGCCCCCTTAAAAAACAGAGCCTTACTCCTCCTTGCGGCGACGAGGTCGGTCCTTTCTTGCTCAGCTTGATCTCCTGGGTCTCCGCCTGCATGCAGAGGAACTCCCCGAGGAGCACCGCCACCAGCACTGCCGGCACTTGGATGATCCACCACTCCCAGGTGCCCGGGAAGCCTTCCTCGCCGATCGACCGAGTGGATTGGCCCAAGATTGGCCCAAGAAAGGTCCTGGGAGTTTTCGGGTTTTTGGCGCTAAACTGACCTCTTGGGAGGGTGTTTTTTTGGACCTTGCTTAAGTCCTAAGTTGCAATTGTGGTGAAACTGGATTTGGTGCTGGTATTCTTCAGACAACGCGCTTCGCAGGTTTGATTCCCTGGCAAGGTTCGTGGAGCGCGCTTCAACCCGCCGGAATCTATTGGGTCTCCTGGTGCCGAACATTCCGGTTGGGCCTGAATCATCTTGCTTCAACATGTCCAGGAAACAAGCCATATGGTTTTCCCTTCCGACAAATTTCAAGGCCCATGGCCACACAAGGTCAAATTTGTCGGGCAAAACGGGGGAAGACCCCCGAATTCTGAGGGACGTTGAAATTGAAGCTTCAGCATCGGTCACCTGCAACTAGGGCGCGAACGATATCCCGTCCGAGCATATATTGAACTAGCATAGTTCGTGCCACTAAGCGTAGCCCAAAGGACCCCATGACTCATCGGTCGTAAGCTCAGAGTTGCCCTCGGCAAATCGCCACCAACTCCCCTTAGCAGCCGCGCAATGTCGCAACTCAAAAGCCGGGAGCCGAGCTCCGAATGCAAAAGCTGAAGGAGGGCCCTTGAAACGGACATCTTTTGAAACCCGCTGACTCATCTGGCTGCTTATGGGCCAAACACGCCGATGTGGCCAAATTACCGGCCCACTTTTCTTGCGCATGGCTCGCCATTCAAAGGGGCACCCTAGTTTCATCCTGTTGGTTTCCCTTTCAAGCTCACGACACCCGCAAGAAGAATATCCATTTGCTTGTCTCTTGCAGAAAAAAAGTCTAGCGACGATCGATTCCCTTTCAAGCCAAGGAAAAGATACCGCCTCGAGCAAATGGAGGAACCCCGCTAGTCACATGGGCACAGCGCTTCGTCCCGCCCGATTTGTTCTTTTTGTGCGCCAAAGGTCCGCCAGGAAGGTGGCCAGCAGGTGAAAGATGTGGTACGTGGCCACAAAGTCCTTGGGTTCCCCCTTTTTGCAACTGGCCCTTTGAGTGGGTATGGGTCAAAATGTTCAGCCTCCAGGGGGCCACAGGTTTTGGGTCCTTGGTGCCATGTACATTCTGGGTACCCATTTTTGAAGTGACGCCATCGCCAGCTACACCCAAAGTTGCCGCCGCTTTCACGATCTCGTGCACGTGTTGGAACCCCCTCTCTATCTCTCTCTGTCGGAGCTGCAAAATTATGATCTGGGTGTGTCATTTCTTTGAAGTACCCCTTTTTCGTTGGTTTTTTAAAGGAAAACCAACAGGAGCCATGGAAATCCAAACCCATTTTTCGTTTTTGCGGGGTCCGATGCCCTATAGACAGAGAAGTTCGCTACAGCCCACTCCCGGGACCCGAATCCGAGGCGCGAGGCACTTCTTGGCACGCTGCACCACGTAGCGCAGCTCCAGCGCCATGACCAGAGCGGTGAGCCACAGGGAGAAGGCCAAGACCAGGCCCCGTGTGGTGCGCCAAGTGTAGGCCTTCGAGTAGACAAAGAGCAAACATGGGAGTGGGAAATGAAGTTGCGGGTTGGGGCTCGCAAGAGGGAGAGAGAGAGAGAACAAAAAAAAACAAAAACAATAGTTCTTCTATTTGGAACTTCCGCCCGCCGGCTCCGCCGGACACTGGTGCCCCGCTATTAATAGGACGGGTTCTACTTAGATCCGAGGTCCCACGTTGAGTTGGTTGAACTAGACTATTAGCTTCCTTCTAGTTGGTGGCTTCCCATTTGCCCTCCACAAGACCCGCAGGTTCGATTTCCCAAGCTGATAAGACGCTGGCCTCAGGCTGAAAGAGCTGGGCTGCTCCCTGCTCCTCGCCCAGAAAGAGGTCCCCAAGGGCCACGCAAAGACCCAGGCAGAGCCAAAAGGAGCTTTGCATCACGAAGATCCTCACGGCCGCTCTCTCTGTGGGGAAATTTCTGGGAAACCCTCTGACAGCCCAAAAAAGGCATCTCTTTTTGGGCAGAAGATGCGGAAACCTGGTTCGACAAGGATTTCGTGTGTGTGTGTGTGGGTTGTTTTGTGGGGGGGGGGGGGGGTGAACAATGCAAGACATGTTTGTTTTGAAATGGGCCCTCTTTTTCTGTGGGTGCGGTTCGCATGACCTGTTTGACCTGCTGCAAACGCTCCATGGCCAATTAAAGCAGTCCGAACATGTCCGAACACCCTATATGCAGGAAAGAGGTGGACGAATGATGACGCATGGATATCTTTCCAGATTCCATTAGTAAAAGGCAGCACAAACTGATGGCAAGGCTTCAAGCAGGGTCCTTGCAGCAACCCTGAAAAAACAAATTGGGACAGCCGGCACCGGACTAAAAATTAAGCGACAACCAATGAATATCAGCAAGCTCGGCCTGAAAACACTAGAAAACAAGCCTGCAGCAAAAGTCCTGCATTTTTTTGGCTGGTTGACCGTTCTAGCTTTCCAGCCGACGGAAAAATGGACAGAATCATAGCTTCGTGACTGGCACAGGCTTAATTACCCTTTGGCTCTCGGCAAAAAGCCGTGCCAAACTCCTCTGTGTTTCATGATTCTCGCATTGCCCTCATCTCTCGGAAAAGGACCCAGCAGTTTCTGACTTTCATATGTCGATAAGCCTGTAAGAACTAAACAAGGAGCTACCCAAAACCGATAGCTGCCCATCAACCAGCAAACGGATAGGGGGCCACCCAAACCTGATACACCGGCAATATTGGCAGTTCCTTGTTTTCATGCAAAAAGGCAATAGGCCACACTGGTGAGCTTTGTCCAGCAACAAATGAAGGGCTTGCATGATTGTTGAAAGTAGCCAAACTGGATAAATCATGGTTCCCCATTATTGGGAAGTTGCATCTATTTAGGGAACATCTCTGATTAGTACCGGATTAGCCGAAGTTGGCATTAGCCCCAGCAAGAGGATAATTTTCCAGTAAGTGAGAACAAAATGGTGGAGCCCTCCAAATATGGCTTGCCTCTAGATTCCCTTCTCAGCAACGTCAAAAAGGATACCCTCAAAACACAAAGACGCAGGGTTGAAGTCAAGGCTCTGAGTCGTGATGAACCGAGGGTTGAACTGATCCGCACCATAGAATCGCCCATCCGCCGGCATTGCTGATCCATGTCGACGGATCCCGCCGAAGATGGGATCCGAGGACTTACACTCGAGGGCTGGAAAGCAACATGAAATGACCAAACAAACAAACATGTATTTCCTAGATGTCGATTCATGGTAGCAACCTGGTTAGCCTCAAGTGAGCTTGGCACATGATCGCTGGCAGCCCTGCGATGTTTCAGAGGATTGTTCACTGCAACTGTCCAACTTCTTGATGACTGTTCAATCCACCCTGATGTTCCTGCCACCTTTGCACAACATGGCATCAGTGCTTACATGTGCATTGCTGCAGCCAAAGTCTGCCCAATGCGACAGCATGCCGGAATGCCGTCTGCCGGGACACAAAAGCTTGACAAGTCAGCACCAAAGGGAATGAGTCAAAGCCGGTCCCTCCAACATATTTTCTGCTTTATCGCGAATTGCTTGCAAAATGAGTCTGCAGGTGCCCGGCTCAAGTTAGACATTCAAAGTGTCCAACCAATAGTTGGTGAAAAACGAGTGCCCTTTTTGACTAGGGTTAGAACCCCACAAAAAGATCCTACAGTGGTGTGGCCTGATCTATTTATGGTCGGGACGTCCCGGGTAAGCCTCCAGCTATCCAAATTTAGGTTGGCTCAAGCTCGAATCCACAAAAGCATTTTCTTTGCTTTGTTACCCCCGTCTTCCGTATTTCGAGGAGTACGGTCTGGGTCACTGCACGTTCCCAAACCAAATCGCCAGTTAGATTTCCGAGCCGAAGGGCAACGGCGCCCCCATGCTCGTAGCAAATCGGCGGGGTATCGGTCCAGCCACCGGCAAGATCGATCCTGCGCCGGAGTCGGGCGGCCCCCCATTTGGATTCCATGCTTGAATGCTTGATTGATAGAGGGAAATTCCATGGTACTATGTTGGGGAAGAATTGCAGCTATGCCACGGAAAGAGAGCCAGGCTTGCACAGGGTGATTTGCTGCACAGATCGGCGGGTTCCATTGGCAAATAATGTTGGTATGCTCGAGGGAAGTGGTCCGACTGAGGTATGTTTCCTTGTTTTTCAGTGGCACTGCCTGCGCAGGCCAGCGGATCCCTTTCGTTCGAAGGGGCGGGGAGGGGGAGCGAACACCCAGCTAATCCTTTTTGTTCAAAATGTAGTGGAGGGGGGGTGGACGGTGGCTCGCCCTTGGAGTTGTACTATGTACCACAATGCTGGGGACAAAGCAACCCTAAAAAAACACATTCCCACTTTTATGGTTGCATTTTTTGATGGACCAAATCAGCCCCAGCCCCTGTGCGAGGCCACGCAGAAAACAAACAATGCCACTGTTGAGGACAAACCTTCTAGGTGAACATAGCCCGCCCTCACAATCATATAGTTCAATGCTTTAATCAAAGATACACAAACTTGGAAAACAGGGCCCCTCCATGCAGTAATTGCCTTGTTCCCACAGCTTGAGGGGGCGAGGGGGTGCGTCTCAAAATCAGAATCGGAACCCTTGAGACCTCAAACCAGGCAGCTTCCATTTTGGCTTCCCTTCAACAATCCCCCACAACTCTTCTAGACCCAAAGCAACAACCATATTTCCAAAATGGAAACTCTTGAAGCCCAGAATAAAGAACTTTCATCATAGGGGAGCTTCATTTACCCAGCATTCCCAGATAGGTTTGCCAAAACAGTGTGTGTCACGCCCTTCGGAGGTTCTGCACCTCTGATAGAAGGGGTTTATACTGCGTTGCAGGCTTGTACTTGTGGTATATAAGCATCATACCTCCAAAACCCATACCTGAATCGCAAATGCCCTCGGGGCCAGGGAATCAGTTGTACCATGCTATGATCAAAACGCCTTTGGGCGTCGTCTCCTGGCCGGCGACTCAACCACCTGCCAACCGCTGCTTGGCGCTGCCGGCGCCACGTGGATAAATTGGGAGCACCTCAGCTGAGTTGCCCTCGAATCATAGCCTCCCACTGGCCCTCCCACGTTGCCATGGCAGACGGATCCCTGCAGGAAAGCGATCTTTCAGTTCCCCACAGGGCAGGCTACGTTTCTGGGAAGTAGGGCAAAGAATTGGGCCAACGTACAAATGAACAGATCGACAAACATGCAGATATATTGTTTAACAAACATCATGTCACAAACAAAACAAAACAGAGACAAATACAGCAAGATTGAACATTGTACCAAGAAGGGTAGCAACTTCTATGTTTGGCACAACACCCACGCAGGGTGAATAAACAAGCGGCAACCGGAACAGTCTATCGGATGAAGCGCGTTGCCACCGCTCTCAGGATCAGCGCCTGGGCCGCTGCCTGCAGAAGCGGCTTTCGGATGTACCCGTGTCCCTCCAACGTGAGGCCCTAAGGCCTTTAGAGGGGTGGTAGGTGAATCCTGTGAGGGCTGGTCATGAAATTGACCCCCTCCCCGCCTCCCCCAGCAGTTGGAGTTTTCCTTGAGGCTTGAGCTTAGGATTCCCCGCTTCGTCAACCACACGTCTGAGTAAAATGGTCGGGGAGCGATTGATCTCCCAGATCGCTGGCAACTGCATACAAGAGTGTCAAGTCTAGTTATCCGATCCTCGTAGTGTCTTGCCGCCCGCATCAGCGCCACAGGGCCGTCCTGGATCCAGGAGGAGCCTCGAGTCAGGGCTCCCTGCAACTCCTCAAGCCTGACTCCACCTTGTTTGATTCTGAAGCAGGGTTCTCTGCATGGTTACATATTGTTTTTTCAACCTGAAAAGCATCAGACCAACAGGAAGGCTAACACGGCGTATGTTCAAAACCAACCCTGGTGCGTGATCAAAGTCAGTCCCTGGCTGGTGGCCTCGTGGACCGTGGCTCGCTTGTGCATGGGGGATTCCCAAACCCGAGTGGCCGACAGAAAGCTGGCAAGCTCATGAGCCTTGCTTTGGTGGCTCCGAACGGGCCACATAGGCAGGCTCAATGGAAAACCGATTGCTAACTGTCAAATAGGCGACTCACTTCCGATCGAGTGGATTGGCCAAGAAAAAGTCCGAACTTTTGATTCACCACTACAATGGTCCAACCCCAAAAGGGGACTGAAGTCCAATTCAGGGAGCGAGGCCAGGAACCCTCAAGGGCCTAGGAGGGAGACACCGGCTCCCTCGAAGCGTAACTTGCTTGGTATTTCTTGGTTGTGGCTGGCCCCGCTGTTTTACCATGATCAAGGTGACCCAAGTGGGGAATGAAAGGGAAACAACCCTAGTGTTTGACTCGGATGCATTGTAGCATGTGTGAAAGTGGTAACACACGCAAGCTAAGAACATTATACAAGTAGCGTGAAACAGAAACACACATGGCGTCGGGGATTGCCGGTGGTTGGTGGGCCTCGGTTCGGGGAGCTCTCTTCCAATGTTTGAGTGCTCGGAGGTATCTCCACTGGTTGCCTGGAACCCTACTAGAGAGGAATCTCTTCTCGCCTTAGGATACCATGACTTTTTGAGGTTCCTTGGCCATGAATTCAACTCTAAAGCCTGGCTGCATACATTGTTTCCCCATCCAACGGGACACATCGCATGGAATCGGAAGGGTGCGTCTATTGCCCGGTACCAGCCTCCTCCATACAGTCAGGGGAACCCAAACTTCACCAAGAGGAGAGTTGACTGGCCGGCTGACCACTAAAGTAAGTCAATGCAAACAGGCCTCATCTTGCAAACCAGGGTCACTAGTCAAATGATCTTTTACCAGTGGACAACCCCATGATTCCTGCGGCAACAAAGAAGATGATGGCACGCTGTGGCTGGCATATCATTAAGCCTTCCAGGGAGCTCCTACGGGTGCTACCGACTGGAGTCCCAGTTGGAAGTGCCACCTGAGTAATAGGTAATTACCCTCCCACACATAACTGCAAGAAGTGCGCCACTTGCAAAACACCAAGGCTGCCAATCTCCAAAAAGTTCAGCGGCATCTTGACGCCAGCAAACGCTGCGCAGCAAGCACCCCCTACATACCGAAGCGCGGGAGCTACGCCTTTCCGCCGAGGAACGTACGTCCCTCATCTGCTGAACTGCTTGCGCACGAGTCCTGGTGCCAAAAAGAAGCGACTCGAGACCGATGTTGATGAACCTGATGGCTCATCACACAACTTGTTGGGTATCCTCATCAAGGTTTCTACGCCTTTTGTTTGCTGGGGTGGAATCAAACTGTTTTGACGGAGTCAAAAGGAAAGTCCTGCCCTCCCACATTCCGAAGGATGAGATCCCATGGATGCGATCCTGTGGTGAACAAGCGCTGCCACACATCAGCCAAACCTGAAACCAAGCCAAATAGACCAAATACATCCTCCTTAGCTGCCCCTTGCGCTGCTGGCAAACACTGGGTGGACAGGGTCAGCAAGGAGTCGGTTGGATTCAATGGCCAGAAAATGGGCTGAAAAAAACTTCAGATTCCACTGCGTGATCCTCCGACTAGAAGTCCTCCGGGTTCATCCGAAGTTGACAGTATCTTTCCCCCTTACCCTAAGAGAGAGGGGGGTGGGGGGTCCCCCAATTCCATTTATCCAGTCTTCCCCACAAAAAAATGCAAACACAAACGGAATTCCAGAGGTTTAACCCCTCCCCCAATTCCATTTATGAGGGGGGCGAGGATCATTATCTCCATTGCCATGTTAACCTTCCCAAGCAAGTAACTCCGGGAATAACCCCTACAAACCATCCCTTCTGGCTTCCTTCAAGGGAACTCATTCCCACTGGGTTCCCTACCTGTCGCAACCAGCATCCAAGCCAAGCGCGTGCCGGCCTGTCGCAGCCCAGGCCTTGCAGCGCTGCGCGCCACTGGGGGTTCCGCGCGCTGCCGCTGCGAAGGCCCCCTAGAGAAGCCAAAAAATTGTGTGTCTGTGCGCGTGTGCGCGTGTGCGCGTTACATAGGGGGGTCTGGACAACCCCATCCTCAAAGGCTGAATGCATATGTCCATATATGATCTGCTGGAATGAACACCCAGCTTATGGGTGAATTACTAAAGCCAACCAAAAGGTGGTCTCCCCAAAAAGACGAGCCACCCATATAGAACTCCTGGGGGAGTTGAACCTAAGGCAGCCACACTCGGGAGACACCGATCTCGCCTTCCGGGCCCGCCATCAGCGCAAGCAGCTCCGCTACCTATGAAACCATCATGAGGTTCTCCAGGATTCCGAGCCCTTTTAAGCCACACCAAGAAGGGTAGGTAGTTACCCTCAACAGAAAAACAGTTTTTTTGGAGATGGTTTCTTAGCTTAGCACTCCCTACGGGGGTTGAGTAACCCAGTTTGCATTGGTAGAAACCTTTCTTGCAGTTACTACAGGAACTTCCTGAAACTTGATAACGTTGCACATATATGCCCAAACTCATGCTCCTGAGTTGCTGACAATCCATTTGCTGAACTTAGTTGCATTCCTATCTTGAACATCACATCGCCCAAGCACATTCGCCTACCCGAGGTCGCATGTCAGCTTTGGCAAGGATGGACAAGCGCCTTTTGTCACGCCTTGTCAGACACCACCGCGAGTTTAGACAAACAATTCACTCTCACTGTGAGGGAAAGGTAAAAAGAATATCAAACCCATTCAAACCCTCACCAACACAGCTCATCCCCTCAGCATGATCTCCGTGCGCAGAGTTCAAGATGCCAAACCCAAAAAAGTCGTGATCGCTCCCTGGGCGGTTTCCTCGTTTTGACCATCCGTATCCTGCTGGCCCCACTATTTTGCCATGATCAGAGTCACCCCTGCAGAAGGAGGTTGAAGAGCAGCACCCACATTTTCTGACTTTGATACCCCCTGAACCCAGTCTTACCAGCGCAAATTGCTTGAACATGTATGTCGATGTGCCAAGCCCCTTGCCTTTTTTGACGCGGGCTGTGAAGCAAACACCCGCAGGTTGCGCACAGGATTCCACAACCCAAAGCTGCGCCAAATAGGCGCCTCACTTATGCGAGTTGTTTGACCGCCGTGGGCAGAAAAGCTCCGGGGACCTTTTTTAAAGGATCTTTTATGTATGAAACGTGTCCTTCACAAAGAAAAAAGGGCCTGCACGCACTCCTTGCCCAGTTCGCCCTTGGTGGCAGAACAACAATTCAAAATGGAAAGATCTGGGTGGAACCTGAACAACGTGCCCATACAAAAAGGAAAGCTCAATAAGCCTCCTCAAAAGTCAAACCCACGGGTAGTGACCGCAAAATGCGGTTGACTCCCTAAAAAGTCACGAGTAAGTCTCAAAATGCAATTAATGCTTTCATTCACTTCTTGTCATATTTGGGAGGCGGTAGCCACGGTAGCGACGCTTGCTCTCTACTAATATCCATAAGATCAACCCCGAAGCGCAAGGACAGGCGCCTGCGCCAGCGCGCGGGCGCACACATCCAGGTCTGCGTCCCCCGCACCCGCAACGGCGTCCTTGGGGCAAAAGGCGATTTTGCGGCACGTTGAAGTCAGGCCCAGGAGCCGTTCCCAGCAGTTTTGCGGGAGATGCGATTTAGACAAGGTGAAGATGTGGAATGACCCTTTGAAAAGAGAAGCCATTGCAGCCATTTCATGATGGTTCCCTCGATTCAGTGCTCCAAGCCAAGAAGAGTTCATATTCTTAATAAGGCCCGTCAAATATCCAAAACTGGTTCAGAACCACACCAAATAAATAGCCGACTGTGAGTGACTTCGAAGGTGTGTATCAGGGACCGTTGCGGGCCAAGATCTTCCTATCGTTCCGCTTGCAAACGCGCTTTGAGAGTTGCTGTTGTCGATTGGTTTCTTGCTTGCTTGCTTTTGTGTTTTGTCCGCGCTAGAGTCGTTTGCCTCCTCTACTTCTGCAGCTACAATGGCTGCAATGACCGTTATGCTAAAAACATGTGTTGTCTTCTCTGTTGGCTGCAATGACCGTTAGGCTAAAAACATGTGTTGTCTTCTCTGTCCAGTAGCCTTCCGAGCTACTGCGTTGGTCTTGCTGACCCCCTTGCAAACAGCTGCTAAAGCAATTGAGGGGACACCTTAATGGCCATGGTTAACCAAATATTTGATCATATTTGATCCTTCCCAAACGGAACTTGTGCGCTAATATGCGCCTTATCCCATGCTCAAAATCGCTTGCAACCACCTCTTGGGTCCAATTCCACGGGTGGAACAACTGTCCGAAAAGGTGGCCTGAAGATTTCCGAGGCACCAAAACATCGAAAAGCCCAGTGCGGCCGCGCCGCACCTCGTCCTGGCGTACCATCAAAGCATCTCTTGGATGGTTTGTGGAATCGCCCGGAAAAACCATGGGGCTCAAGGTCCCTCATGGTTTGCACCACCGGGGGCCGCTGCAGGGAACTCGATTCCCGATGGCCTATGGCACATATCTGCCACTGCATGTATAAACAACTGAGCATACAAGTCTCAAAGTAGCTTGGAGTTTGGCAGCAAACAACCAAATAAAGGCTGAGAAAAGGAACTCCTCTCCGACGAGCAGGGCTGAATTCTGCACAGCGGCGTAGAGCCAGTTGTAGAGCCAGTTCAATCTTGGCACCAGTTCACACCCTGCAGAGTTAATCCTGGTGGATTCAAAGGTGCCATGAGTTGTTTGGCACTTTCATGGATCCAAGCATTGCCAGGGAACCCACCTTAAGCTCCCTTTTCAAGGATAATCGTCTTCCAGGCGTTGTCTGGAGCTTTTTCGCGGCGGCTCTACTCCTCTTCTTTTCAGGGAAAACAAGGATCACAACATGTTTTTTCTGGGTCCGTTGGTTGGCTGGCTGAGGCGGGGAGTAGATTTCATGCATTGTGCGAGTTGTTGCGTGGCAGGGTGTTGGGCTGTCTCAGGCCTTGGTCACGGTGTCATGGGTTGGCTTGGAACTGGCTTGCGCTTTGTTTGAGAGTCAGCTGGGTCTTAGTGTAGGACTGGTTTTCTGACTAAATTAAATTGTGTGATTGGCAATCATTTGGGCGTGGCTTGAGCTGGTTTTGCGACAGTTCTATCAAAACCCCGTTTCATTGAACAATCCAACCCGTCCAAATTGCAGTCAAACCAAGTGGGTTCCCTGTCGGGCACCTCAGTTCGCGGTTTACCCTGCCGGCACACAAAAGCAAGTATTAAGAAATATGAAGCTACGACAAAGAACCGAAGTGCGAGAAACAACATTTGCAGGGTGGGGGCATGGCGGGTTCAATCCCGTGCCGCGCCGATATCCGCGCGCCGATATCCTTGCCGGGCCCAAGGAGGTTCGGTGCGCGCGCCGATATTCCGCGCACGCCGATATGGTTGCGGGGCCCCGGTAGGTATACCCGTGGCCGCCAGATATCGATGTGCGTGCGCGCCGATATGCGTGCGCGAAGCTGCAGCACGACGAGCACCCTGAACAAAGAAGCCCAACTGGGTGTCTGCGTAGCCCTCTGTCTCGCTGGGTCCCGGCGGGGCCTGAGTTGCTGGCACGCCAATCTCCAAACACTTTGGCGGCTCCAGCTCCGGCAGCTCCTTGTTTGCAGGTGGAAGGGCGGGGTGGTCAGAGTCATTCACGGCAGCAGAACCAGAGACAGGGGCAGGCTTCTCGGAACCAGACGCTGCGCCCGGACTCCCGGCACAAACGAGCAAGCAGGCACCTTTGTGCGCTGGGGCTCGCGCCACTTTGCTTGGCCTGCCAGCCTGGGATGCTGGGATGTGGAAGTAGCCAGACCTTGCCGTTTTGCCTGACCTCTCCGCCTTGTCCCCCATGTCACAAGGTGCTTGGCAGAATGTCCGCGCTCTCCTCTGCATCTTCCTGCTGCTTTTTGCACAGCCTCGACCACAGACGGGCTGCTAATCATCCACCTGCCAGGCTTGCCACTCACAGCATTCACAACAGTTCAACAGGCTCTTTGAATGGCTTGGCTGCCGCGGTAGAGTAGCAGCACCCGCCAAACTCCCGAAAGCACGGTGGGTGCGTCACATCTTCAGAGGCACAAACACGCGTCAGCTTAACCATGCCCACGATGCCTTTGGAGCAGCTTTGCTCGTCTGGCATGTCCGGGACTGTCTCTGACAGCTTACACCACCTTGCCGTTGGGCTCGCCCTTGCCAACGTGCAAGGCGTACCACACCAGTCCTGCGAGGTGTTCCTAAAACACGCAGCGGCCACACACAGGGGACACACAGGGGCCTAAACAACACGGCGCGCCAACCACCCAACCGCCAGCATCCACAAGCATCACCAACCACCGCGGATTTCCTTGCCATGTAAACTAGCATGTCGGCCATACACTGTTTACAGGCAGCAACTTTCACTGCCACACGCTGAACGCTCCTAAAGAGCGCTTGTTCCTGCATTTATTTGTCACATCTCACAAAGGTGGTGACAGTTCTTGAAGGGTCCCTTCCTATGAAACCACCTGATTCACGCAAGTCAACTTAGACGTCAGTTAACGACAAGGCGTGCGAAACCTCCAAGCAGACAAAATGAGAAGAGGAAGCCGCTTCTGGTCTATACCTGGAAGTCTCAAAACACCTGAGGCACCCAACGTGCCTTTTTTTGGTACGAGAAAAAAACTTGGAAAAGGTCCTACAGGGTTGTAGTGGATGGGGTTGTAGGCGAGTTGCAAAAACACAAAGCCCTGCCCTCCAATCAGCCCTGCCCACTTCTGTGTGTGTGTGCCCCTGGGCTGCGCTAACACCAGAGCTTCAAAAGCGCAGGCATTTTGCAGCACACACCGTGGGCCCATTTGTCGAAGAGGCCGGAGCATGGATGACGGGTTTCATGTAAGAGCAGGCAGTTGCGCTTACCGACGGCGTCCGTAAGCACAGCCAAGCCGTCGGGAGCACATACTCAGCCCCTGGGCGCGCTGTCTATTCTGTGGTTGCGCTTACCGACGCCGCCGGTAAGCACAACTGAGCGTTTGAGCCAGTCGCATTGATGGGTGTGGGCTTTGGTGAGAAGCCCTTGCTGGACATCATTCACAAGGGGGCTAAGGGGCCTGATATGCGCAAGCCCCTGCTGGGTTGTTACCACATTTAAACAAATCATGGCCAAATGTATAATGTGGCTCTTGCTTCGCGCACTCTGCTTGAGTGGAAGCCCTTGTGGAGAAAAACCGATGCAACTGCAACCCCATCTGCTACAACCCTATAGGCACTCTTCCGAAAAACGCTCGAATTACCAATTTCTGCTCGACCCCCCAATTACCCCGGCACGAGACCCCAAACAGTGATAGGCGGCGGTCACACGCTGCAGAGTATTGTGCGGGCTGCGCCGCAAAACGGCGGTTGTTGTCAGGAAGCTGCAACATCATTTTGCGGTATTTGCGCGCACATTCACAAAGACAAGGACACGGCCTGGAACAGACACGCGCAAGAGAATGCAGCAGACACGTGTCGAAGCCAGCGCCATGGTCGTGTGTGCGTGTGTTTGTGCGTGTGTGTGTGTGTGTGTGTGTGTGTGTGTGTGTGTGTGTGTGTGTGTGTGTGTGTGTGTGTGTGTGTGTGTGTGTGTGTGTGCGTGTGTGCGTGTGTGTGTGTAAGCATCACTACAAAAGGCAAGATCTGTGTTTGTTTCACCAGGGTGCCTGAGTTAGTGAGTTAGCTAGCTAGGTAGCTTCTTCCTTTGTTCTCGATTGTGGCGCTGTTGCTGTTGCTGTTGCTGTTGCTGTTTTTGGGTGTTGTTGTTCAGAGTACCATCGAGACGCCGTCGCAGCACAGAAGCACCATCCAAGCATGCCCAAAGAAAGGGAAACAAGCTCGCGCGGACAGGGCGGGAATCGAGCCCGGGACCTTTCGCCGGAAACCCCCCCACGGTCCCCGGAGCCGCCAAAAAAGCAAAAAAATCGAGTTTGTGCGAGCCTGCGCAGTCGAAACGCACTTCAACATCAAGCAAGAGCAAGAACCTGCAGTAAATACCACGCAAAACGCTCGCGGCCAGAAGTCGCCAACTCACTTTGTGCGAGCCTGCGCAGTCGAAACGCACTTCGACATCAAGCAAGAGCACGAATCTGCGGTAAATACCACGCAAAACGCTCGCGGCCAGAAGTCGCCAACTCACTTTGTGCGAGCCTGCGCAGTCGAAACGCACTTCGACATCAAGCAAGAGCACGAATCTGCGGTAAATACCACGCAAAACGCTCGCGGCCAGAAGTCGCCCTCACTTTGTGCGAGCCTGCGCAGTCGAAACGCACTTCGACATCAAGCAAGAGCACGAATCTGCGGTAAATACCACGCAAAACGCTCGCGGCCAGAGCGGGCACCTCAATCTGGCACCAAGGCCTTTTCTCTTACCGTAAGAACCCCTTAGTGTAGACACACTGTTTGGGGAAAAGACGCTCGCCCCCCGAAAAACGCGCGATCAAATCCCCTTCTTCCATCCAGAGGAAGGCGGGCATTGTTACGCTTTTAGATTTGCACTTGCGCTCGTTTTGCGGAAGTGTGCGCTCGTTTTGCATTTGGATGTCTGCTCGCTCCTTTCGAACATTCAACGACCGATCATCTTGGAGGACCGACCAGCCCGGTTTTGGGAAAAATGCTCGAAGCAGGAAAAAGTGTACGTTTCCCATATTTTGGTGACGACCCTGGTTTTGCAATACGTTTGGGCTAAGGGCAGAAATTTAGGTAACGAAGGGTGCTCCAGGCAGGTTGGCATGTTAAGGCTCTGCGTCCTGAGTTCAGATCTCGATGCGCTTGTGGCCGTGCAGCATTGCACCACGCAAGCTGGGGCCCTTGTACTGTCATGGCTTGGCAGGGCTGCGGCGCTGCCATCACCATAGCTGAGGATCCTGGCTGGGGTGCTGTTAGAACCACTTGCTGCTGCTTGCGCTGGTGGCGCACAGAGCAGCTCCGATCACCCCGCGCCCCGATATCCTTCTTTGGGGGTGAGGGGATATCGATATCCGGCCGCACGCCGATGTCCTGCTGAGGGGGCGGGGGGGGGGGGGGGGATATCGGTCCGCGCGCCGATATCCGCACGCACGCCGATATCCGCGCGCGCCGATATCCTGAGGAGGGATATCGGTGTATCGGTGTATCGGCTTCAGCGCGAAATGAAAACCCAAAACGTGCAACGAAAAATTCCAAATCGAAACAACTAAAGTTGATACCGTGTCTGCGGGTAAACTCAATTTTTGCTCTTCAATATCACTCCTTTGGGTGAAAGGCGGGGGTGGGGGGGAACATTGAAAGGCTTGAATGACCCAAGGTGTCTAAGAAGTCTTATCAACCTCTCGTTTCCCTCGTTGGCAGCCCAACTCCAAGTCGCGAAAAAGTCCGGCTCTACATGTCCCATTTGTTGCATTTCCACGCTTACCACTCGCCCCGCGGAACGCAAACTGAAAAACAGACGTTGAATTGCCCTCACACCAGTCCCCAGGCCAGCAGAAACTCAACAACATGTCCTTCTTAGACATCCCACCTGCAAATAAGCTCTCACCAGCAATGCTTGGCTCAAGGAAGCAGGAACCCTTCACAAAACTGGTCCTATCACCACCCAAACAATCCATCCAAACAAACCACTCCTCAACCACACCTCTATGTTTGGTCTATTTTAGATTTTAGCCTTCCCATGCTGTGTTTTTGTTGGGTCCCGAAACCCTTTTTGTCGGGAGGGTGAACCCAAATCGGCGCCTCCAAAATGTGGTGAATGGGCGCATCCTTCTGCAGGAGCAGCAGCTGGCGTGCCCTCAGCACATTGGAGTCTGCTGCAACGCAGTCCTGCCGTCTTTGCATCCTCCCCATGGGTTCTGAAGAATATGGGAGACTGTACTAAACGGCTTCGGTTTTCCTTGCATGTTCCCTTGAAACCAACTTCAAATGGGCACCGACTCAAAAAAGATACCCCCTATATGGAGCCAGCTGGAATTCTATAGGACCCCAGCTGACAACCCAGGGATCCGGTGAGTACTTGGTGAATTTCCGACACAAACTCCTGAGGTTACTTTCTGAAATGGGGGGATTCACTCCGATTTTCGGTATTCGGAAGGCGGACGCAAGGGAAACCACAAGAACCTGGCACAATAATGAAGCAGATGATGGGATTTTCCCGGTGCAAGCTTCACCCCTCACCATGAAAGACGCCACACCGAGCTTGGAAGCTCCAAGTTTAGACGCGCCGAAACCTGAGGTTTACGGAGAGGAAGCCTCCGCTTCCTGAAGGTTCCGGGACCCCGGAAAGAGAAAGACCAACAGATTGGACGTGACTGAGGGGTGAATCAAAGATGCGATCCTAAGGCTTCCAATTCCAAAATCTGATCGCGGAATTGCTGTTTCTATGCCCAGGGTGAAATTGCTCGTATTGGATATACCCCCGGTCTACCGGCATGCCAATGGTAGAAGGGACCTTCTGGTAGCCCTGAAGGGGGAGGGAGTTGCCTTTTTGAGGGGACAACTCGTGTGGTTTAAAGGGAACCAGCATGGGTCCAGCCTTAAACAACGACAGAATCACATAAGCAAAAGTGCAAGCACTCTCTTGAAAGGTGACTGTCGTTGTAAGGGAGCAACTGCGCACCAATGCATGCCCATAAGGGTAGCAGTTCCCAAATGCCGATTTTGGTCAAAGCACGTCATCCAATGGGCACACCCTCAAGCGATAAACCAAACACAGAACTAAACATAAGCGGCAAGTTAGCTCCAACGCAAAACCATCATATGCTAGTTTGAGGCTCGATGAAGGGTAAACACAAATACGCGGGCCCAAGCAGGGGACAAAACTCCTAACGGGCCTAACGTTCAGTTCTCAGGCGCGGCTCTTTCCGCATCCTGCCTGCCACTGCAGCTCCGCCTGGACATCCGCGCGAGTGGCCAGCTGTTGTAGCGAGAGTCGCTCAGCGGCGGTCAGCGCCGCAGACCAGCTGCGCCGCCAAAGATCCTAACTGCCGCCAGGAAAAATTGAAGAATGGGTCTGTCCTTTTTCGAGGGTAGTTGTTTTGGAGCGGGTTCTAAGAGAAGCAAAGGAAACCAAAAAAAAATGCTGGCAAAAGAACTTGGCCGAATCTGGGTTTGCCTTCAAAGATCAGCAAGCCCCCTTTTGGCAGACAACTGTCTCTCCAAAGAGGTCTGGGAGGGAAACTGACATGCCCTGCGGAGGTTTCAACTATGGATCACTTTGCATGGCTTAGGGAAGGTTTTCCCACAAAACGTCCCTCAACCAAGTCCTGTTCTGTTGCAGGTCTGTCTTCTAGTGAACGGCACCAAATCTGGGAAAGGGTTCCCGCTCTGGCCATGCCCTAGGCTACGTGCCATTTGCGACACGATCTCAGCTTTCAGCCCCCAAAGAAATGAACTTCGACTTTGGTCATGATCAAAGTCACCCCTCAAGCTAGGTTGAAGGGGAACAACCCATTGTCTCCCTGTGGTACTCCCCAGAAACCATCGAAATGACAGGCCCAATAAGTTCAAACATAAATCCGAACAGGCAGACTTCGCCCCTTGCGTCAACATGCCAAGAACAAAGAGCACAGGCCAGAAGCATTACTCACCGACGCCAGGCATCATTTTGCCTTCATTCTTGAGGCTATCCTTTGTGGGGCCGGCCGAAAGGAACGCCAAACGCAACCAGCACAGTTGGGGGTCCCTCCATTCCAATGCCAGGACCCCAAACCAAGGGGGAAACATGGCCTTTACACAGTGCCTTGTAGTGCCTGTACAATGTCTGTATAACTGCAGGTCCACCCCCCAACAACTGCTTTTTCCCGTGTCCAAAATGCTAAGTACTGTTCAAAAAGCTGGTTGGGGGGCCGTTGGTTAAGGGCCAGAATCTTCAATCTTCGATGCGAAAGACTTGGCATGCCCAGTGTCCAAGGAGGCCCTCCGCGCATTCTCGGGAGTTTCGCGGCAGCATTGCACGTACTCCACCTGGATCCGTCACATGAGACGGGGGCCACTGCAAGCTGAACTCCTACCCCGAAGCCGAGGCGAACTGAGTTCAATTGGCTGAATACCCTAGCTTTGCTCGAGTGGTTTGGGTGCACTGGAAACTATATCTTAGAGAGTTTGGCTGGCCTACCTGCAATATGCGAGGTTTTATTTGGACTGCACGAAACAGGATTCCAGTGCTAAACTCCGGTCAAGCATGAGCTTCCACCTTGGCTCCCTCTGTTAAGGGGGACATGTGGATACCCCCAGCTTCTTTGACCCCAAAGGCCCCAAAAGGTGATCGACCTTTTGCTGGGGGGGGGGGGGGGGAAGATTTGGGCAGAGCTTTAAGAGGACTGTACAGGTAGCACAAATAACTAGGTTTGTGGAAGTATCCTTTGAGGTGCCGGGTGTCTTTAGCTCGCCCAGACAAAATGGACGTCTTTTTCAGCGTACCCCAAAAAATGCACAAAACTGGGGTTCCAAAAAAAAAACAAAAAAACGGCTGGCCATCCAAGGCCCTGACCCAGGCCAGCGCTGGCGACAAAGAAGCTTCCAGCGAGGAGACTGCAGGGAAGAGGCCTCGCATACGCAACATCTCACCGAGAAAAATGGGTGGCTCGTCCTGAGGGAACCCCAAAACGGGTTGTTTTGAAGGGAAACCCAAAGGAAACCGGGCATTTTTGGGTACCCCTAGATACCGCCAGTTTAAAACTAACATAAATGATACTGTGGATATCTGTGGATGCACTCCCTACATGGATGGACACCATCCTGCACCAGGTGGTGGGTGGTGGCTTCTCCCTGGCTTCGTACAACGGGATTTAAAGCTTTTCTGGATTTGTTGAAGGGATTGGCATGTTCAGTATCAATTGCATGTCGAGAGCAACGTGATGCGGATGTGCAGTTGCTTTCTTAAACAAAAAAAGAAACAAAAACTGCAACAAACCAAAACTCAAGTGGACTTCCAAAAACGGATGGCTTCTTTTCGGTTTCCTTTGAACACCAAGCAAAGAGGGTACCAACTCAAAAAAACAAAAACAAAAAAACAAGCTAACCATTGCGCTGGCCCCGCTTCCAGGTTCGTTATTTGGCCCGCTGCTTTAGCCGAACGAGTCGAATTGCGGGTTTTCGGTGTCCGGTTCTCAGGGGGAGGCTCAGAGCAATCGAGTTCGGTTCAGGAGCCAAGAAAACTCCCTGCTGGTCACTCGGGTGTTGCTCCTTTTCAGAGTTCACACATGGAATCCGCAAAATGATGGGCGTAATTTTGGTTAGTTGGGTTGACAGTAAATGGCACTGGTTTCAGTTTGCGTCTCATCATTCAGCAGCGTCATTCAAGTTCTGAAAGAACAGCTAGGCACAAGATCCGTCCCTTGGGTTCCGAAACTATGTGGTTTCCTTTCAGTAGGCCGAAACGGCAGTCACTCTCAGCACATGTGGCTCAGAGAGACAAGCAACTCGCAGGCATCAGTTGGACTTGTAACTTTTGAAGGGGAAATGAAGTGACCCCTCTCTCGGATTGGCCAAAACCCGCAAAAGATGGGAGTAGAACCTGACTCAAAGGCGAGGCACTAGGCACCTTTCTACGCTTGAAAAAGGCGCCAAAGTGGCTTCTCCCCTACTATCAACGCTTTGGGGGGTCAAACGCCAAGCCGAAAGAATCGCCCAATGAACCACCCGTGAGGATGCCAGTTTCGTACTTTGGGATGGGAGCCATGATCAGCTTTCATTGTGCTCCCGGGCATGTTGGCCTTTTGTCACTGCGAACTTGTAACTTGTAAAGCATCGGGTGAGAGCCTGGTGCTGGTGGTTTCACTTTGAGGTAAACCAAGTGCATTCTACCTGAAAATCCCATTCAAGAGTTGCAATTGACTGGTGGTTTCCCTTCAAACTGCTACTTTTGAAGAGTTGCAATTGCCTGGTGGTTTCCCTTGAAACTGCCGCTTTTGGAGGTTCTTAAGAGGGAAGTGGAGGACACCCAGTCCGTCACAGGTTTTTCCTCTCAGCGGCGAGCTGTCTGCAGCTCCCGCTCCTCATTGGCTCGCCACAGCTGCTCCTCCGTGAGGCCTATCCACAAGTAGCCCGTCCCAAGGCGGACGTGCACAGGGCTTCTCATTGTAAGAAACACCCGAAGAGGGGTGGACGGGTTTGGAGGAAGCCAACAGGAAACCAACCTGAAGGGCTCCTGAACTTTGAGAAACAAGCCCAATGGGTTTTCTGTTTGACGTGCCTTTAAAACCAAACAAAGAAACAGGGATACCCTCAACAAAAAAGACACCCATTTATGCACCACAGGTACGAACATGTCAAGTTTATGGGATAGTTGAGCCATTACATCACCCGCCTGCAAACTAACATGGAAACCAACAAGGGCATCTCCCAAAAGGAGATTCGCAACATGGCGGTTGTTTGAGTTCTATGGTGAATTCAGGGGAATATTCGAAAAGGTGCTGAGGACAGCACCCGACAAAGGACCATTTCGAGGTATCCTCCCGCAGGTGCTACGTCAAGGGTAACGCTCGAAAAAAGGAAGAAACAAGACTATCGTTGAAGGGCCCAACAAAATATTGTCACCAGCTCATGCGTCATAATGTTGAGCCCGGATGAATAAACCCGTCCTATTAAGACGGGGTGTTCCCTCCTAAAGTGAGGAATCCCCCCTCAAAGGTACCCTCGAATCCGTGGCATCCCCCCAGGGCAAAGTTCATGACACATGGTCGTCGACAAGTGGTGCTTGAACCAGTGAAATAGGAAAGCTTGAAGACCGCCAACTTTATGCATTTTGTTTCTCAGATCATAGATGCAGGTAGGAAGCTTTCGGGAAGCCCATGGCTCACCCTTCCATTCCCTTGCTTCAACTTCCCCCAATGACCGTCAAGACCAGCGGCGGATTCCTTTGGTCAGTTCGGTTTGGTCATCTGATGCCACCATTGGCCAGTTGGTTTCAGGCGCTGGTCATGCTGGCTCTTCTCAGGCAAAATCATTAAGTGCGGCATCATTGCCTCCTTGCCTCCAATATGACGCGGAACAACACTTCTCAACGGCAGCAAGGGAGCATGCAAAGCCGAATTTGTTTGAATCCAATGCTTTGGCATGTTTGACTCCCATGTGCTCGTGGCTGATGCCGACTGTGAAGACCGAAGGCTTGGGAAGTGAGCCGAAAGGAAAATGACTTCGAATCGGAAAAATGGACCAAACGGGGGTCCCGAACAAACAACACACACCAATATGAACCCTGAGGACATCCGAGCGCCTGTCTGCGCCAACAGCTGCTGCCAGGATTGGCCCAAGGTGCCGTTGGTGAGGAAGGTCACCAGGCAGCAGCGCCCATCCTAGTTGCAAGTCCCCAGCTTTGACTTGACGGCCATTCTCATACGTAGCCCATGTTACAGGTTTAGACGAAAAGAAACTTACTTTGTTTCCAACAGGTCTGCGCTATCAAAGGCCAGCCATGTTGATGACTCCTACCGGTCACCAATGGTCGCAATTCGAGTGCTTCTTAGATTGGGCCAATATAGAGAAAACAAAAGCAAAATCGTTTTTGGTCGACTGCAGCCACCATGTTAGCCAGCTAAGTTACTCCAGTTGCCCGAGGCTTTCGCGGGGAAACGGGGGGTTGTAAAAACGTCCATCCTTTTCGGGGAGACGGGCTTTCAAAGCAGTACACCTGACGTGCGGAGCAAACTAAAAGGAGACAAGACAAAGATCAGTTCCTACGTTTCCTGGCCCAACAGTGCAGATTTGCTGCCTGCCTCTGAATTTGTGAAAAGTCTAAAATCCAGCACTCGCGCCTTGGAAACAAAGCACATCACTGGCATTGCACTCTGACTGCAAACCGACTTTCTGCAAGTCAGTTTGTAAAGGGAACCCTTTCGAGGGCCTGAAAGGGAAAAGGTACAAACAAAGGTTCTCTGCTTTGGTCTATGTCTATGCAGACTGTCGTTTTTGAGGGCACTCCTTTCTCGTGGATTTGAAGGGAAAAAAAGGAAAACACATTCCTCATGTTCAACGTCGCTTCCGCTGGGGTGCGGAAGCGAGAAACGGATCCCGTTCAACATGGGAGGTTGCGCTACCCCATGCCCCTCACCAAAGTTGAGGTTCTCAGCTTGTGTATCAGCGTCCATGCTCCAGCAACATACCTGGAAATGCCCTTCATCATGTGTTCCCGGGTTAGCAACGTTTCCCCTTTTGAGGTGTCTCATTTTTTAGGGAAATCTCTTTTGTAGGTCTTTAAGGGAAGCCAAGTGAACAACCACCATTTCCTATGTCAGGGCAAGAGACACCACCCATCAATTACAACTTCATGGGAAATCTAGTCTGTGTACAACCTCCGTACCTCCGAGACCCATACCGGGGGCAGGGGATCATCTGCGCACACAAATCTGGATCATCTGTACACACAGGCTTTCCTCACTTATTGCGCCATGCACTCTGGATCATCTGCGCACACAAGGTTTCTGTCATCTGGCTCATCTGTACACACACACACACTTTTGGCAGGGTGGGGGGGTGGGGGGGGAGGGGGATTGGTAAGCACACCCGCTCAAGTGCACCCGCTCAGCGCTGTTTCCACGCATGCGGAAGAGTAGCCCGAAGGGGTGGGGGGTGGGTGGGGAGGCGGGGGAATGGTAAGCACATGCCTGCCACCTAATAAGCATACCCGCTCACGTGCAACAGATGGGGTGCGGTATTGGGGAAGGGTGGGGTGGGGGTGGGGGCTGGGGCGGGGCGGGGTGGGGCACACCCGCTCACGCGCGTCCGCCTAGCGCTGCATCCACGCTTACCACCTAATAAGCACACCCGCTCACGCGCGCCCGCCCAGCGCTGCACGCATGCCTGCCACCTGATAAGCACGCCCACTCACGTGCAACACATGCCTGCCGCCTTAATGAGCGCCTGCTCAGGGTGGGCTGGGCTGGGGTCAGGCTTTGGGGAGGTTGGGGTGGGGTGGGGCACACCCGCTCACACACGCCCGCCCAGCACTGCGCACATGCCTACCTAGCAAGCGCACCCGCTCACGCGTAACAGATGGGGTGGGGTATTGGGGAGGGGGGGTGGGGTGGGGGTGGGGGTGGGGGTGGGGGTGGGGGTTGGGTCCGGGGTGGGGCACCTGCTCACGCGCGCTCGCGCAGCACTGCATTCACGCCTCCCACCTAAGAAGCGCACCCGCTCACGTGCACCCGCCCAGCACTGCGTGCATGCCTGCTACCTAGCGCACACCCGCTCGCGGGGTCTTGGGGAGGGGTGGGCGGGGGTGGGGGGGTTGGGGTGGGGTGGGGTGGGGCACAACCGCCCACGCGCTCAGCTGCTCACGGCTGGCTTCTTGCTGGTCGCACAATGGCTACCCTACAGGGCTTCTCAACACAAAATGCCCTTAGACCAAGCGAAGCCGGGCGAAAGTCTGTCCCCCTGATTTACACACGAAGTGCAAGAGACTTGTCAAACCTTTAATGCAAGAACCTATACACCACATTCTTTACCCCGAGCAAAATTGAGAGCGGCTGACAGAGGTAAAAACCGCACAGGAGACAACGGAACACAACATTTCCTATGTTCATACGACAGACAGGCAAAGAAACATGCAGCTGTCAACGCCCCCGTCCCTTCTTGTGCGTAGCAGTAAGCACTGCGTGTACAAACGATCCAGGGCAAAAAAGGCCCGCGTGCAGAGACGATCCGGTCCCGCGTGTACAGACGATCCGAATTCCGCGTGTACAGACGATGCACTGACCCATACCGGCCGTCAGGCGAGTTTTGGAAGACTACTTTCCTTCTAGAGTACCTCAACACACCCCTTGACTGGGCTGTCCTCAGATCCCCTGCTAATAGCTTAACTTTCAGCGGGTTAACTGGAAACCTCTACTAAACCGACTAAAACCTATCAACGCCTACCGTTGAATGGAAGCCTCGACTAAACCTAAACCGACTTAAAAAGCAATAAAAGCCTACGGAACCGGCTGGCCGGGAACCACCAAGCTGACTTGGGTGTGGGTCAACAATGGGTACCCAAAAGGCCCAAAATGGAACCCTGGGTAATGGAACCAAGGACTAAAATCTGTGGTTTTTTGGTGGTCTAATTTCTCCCATAGCCACTTGAAGCCTCTGAAACCGAATCGCCCGAAGCGGTCGCCTGCAGAAGAACCTGCTGGAGCTGCACATCTTCCGGCACGCGCAAGCCCTTCAGCCGACGCAGGCCCGTACACACGGAGCCAGGCTCCTGACCCCAGGAAGGAAAGCTGTTGCCCGCGGTCTGAACGACAAACATAACATCACCAAACATATCTCTCTCTCTCTCTCTATATATATATATATATATTTCTACTTGTATGTAAATCACAGATGTACTACATATGCATATAGAAGAAGGGAGTGAACTTCCAGGGCCCCCCCCCCCCTTTTTGGGTGGGTTTAAAGGGAAGCCAAATTAGTATTGGTTCCGAAATATCCCTGATAAGATTGAGAGGAACCAATTGGCTCATCTTGAAGAAGCCCTGCTCTCTGTGGAAATTGGCAAAGTTCAAACGCAAATGACAAAAATACGTTCTCTCTCAATGCTTGTTTGTTTTGAGGGTATTACTTTGGGGGTACAGGGAAACCAACAGGGAAAACACTCATGGATCCATTTTTTGGGGCACCCATATTTTGGTACATACCCGAATCAATGCAAGGCTTAAAGTTTGCTGAACAAAATCCACTTCGTTCCAGTAGGTGCTTTATCAAGAGGAACTGCAAATAAAAGGTAACTGTTTTTTATGGACCAACACTTGGAGAACCGAAAGGTCAAAAGGTCGACTGTGAACAAGTGTGAGTTCTGCATCCCAACTACGAAGTGGATTTTGTCCATCCGGTCTGGGCCTTTTCTCAGCACGTCGAGTCCCACCAAGTGCATCCACAAAACACGAGGGGCGGAGTTACACAAGGCCTCTCTAAGAGGGCGGTCGTCTTTCAAAACTCTTCTGTCAGCTTCCAAGGGCGATGAAACAAGTGGCAAGCCAGTGATGCAAATCTGCCAGCCCCCCCCCCCCCCCAAAGGGCTCCAGGATGCAGTTGTCCAGGGAAGAGTTCTCAATGATCGCGTCTTTGGCGATCTGGCCTTGGCAGGCTCACTACGTTCCTGGAAAACTAAACGGGAAAAAAAAACAAGCCAACCATAGGTTTTGAAATTCTAGGACCTCTAGTGAACCTGTCATGGAAACTAAGGCCATCCCCTTCCGTCTGGGAGGTGGTTTGAGCAATGGGAAAGCCGAATCTTTCGCCGGCATTCAGGCAAGGCCAGGGGACCACCCAAGGCTGAGGACATCAATATCTTTGACCGCACACAAGATCACCGTCCCCCCAAGCTGTGATTGGGATGGATGATTTAGAGGTTAGGGGCCAGTTAGGGGCTTCCCATTTACCCAACAAGAATCAGGACAAATCCAACTAAGGGTTACCTGATCAATCGCAAACAAAAAAAAACAGCTCGAGAGAACAACAAAAACAAACACTTCACCTCCACCCAAAAGGGAGTTCGGTCTGCAAGGGGGGGAAGTTCAAAAGGCGGCCAAAACGGTGAGGCCGTTAGGTTCTGTAAACAGTACTCACATCCTCACATAAACCCTGCCTTCCCTTAGCATAGAGTCCACTGTAGTAAAGGGTCCCTTGGAACAAAATAGTTGGTCAAGTTCCATCTTGGGAGTCCTTCCATGAGCCCCGACTAACGAAATCACTAAGAGATAGGTAAAATGGGGGTGGATAGTTAAGAGCCATACGCTTCCTTAGGGTTCCTTAGGGTTCCTTAAAAAACCTTAGAAACCCCGACACCCCCTGTTCGCACGCTAAGCCAGGCGCAGTTCCGAAGCACGCTGTTCACCACCCGCGCATGCTCCGAAGGCGGGTCCAAATAACTGCCGAAGGAGTGCGCTGTCTGCGCCGAGGCCGAGGGAAAAACCGTAGCTCAGCGCATAGCTTGGGGGAAAATAACCTTGGAAGAACCAACGTGACCAAACACGTCCAAACCATGTGAGCATTCGGTGAATGGCGAAGCGAAAAAGGCGTGGGAACGAAAGGGACACTAAAGAATTCAGCAACAAAAACTAGAAGCAACCTGTGGCCCACTTAAAAACACAAACAACAGAACTGGCCTATTTAGTGCCCAGCCGGAGACCATTCAACCAAGGGAAAACCCATACCCCCGGTGAAACCGAAAGGTCCAAGGCTTGCAAGGCAGCATATACCTCCTAAATGCGTGGTATATGACCTCCATACCTCCAAAACCAATCCATGCAAAACATGCAAAAGCCCTTAACACATGAGACATAGATGCTTTTGCTCAAGGATCCTAAGCTTGTTCTTTGCTTGGCTGCTTTGCTTCAAGCGTGGGCTGGTTCCGATGTGCGAATCTCCGCCATGGACATCCCCTCTCTCCGCGGCATCCATCACCACCCGTTTTTTGGGTTTGGATTCGGAAACGTTGCGGTAGGACTCGTCGCCTAAATTTGACGTCCACCGTGGTTTTACCACGCACGTCCAGACACGCGGATGGCCTCCAAGGTGCCCAGGAGCTGCACAAAGTCCCGGGTGGACCGTACCTTGGCCGGGGATGGGAAACCAGTGATGGGCGCTGAAAACCCCCCAGCAAAAAGAAGTGGTTCACTTTTTGGCTTCTTAAAACGAATGAGGGGTATTTCTTAAAAGTTGAAGTCGAAAGATCCAACCCAATAGCAGTAGAGATAGATCCCCTTTCAAGCCAACAGGGGAATCTCAAAAAGGAGGTACTGTAGGGCCTGTAGGGTAAAAGAGGTACAGTCTGGCACAACTCACTGGGCCGAAGGCTTCTGATCCCGTAGGTCGGCCAACAAAAAGCAACATACCTGTCGGTGTACCGCTGCAAATGATCCAAACCCATGTCAAAAGAGACAACTCTCCGAAACGGAACTCAAGGAGTAAGCTTGTGGGTCTGTAACGGGGATGACTGAAACCAGAATTCGCCTCGGCCCCAAAAGGGGCCAAGGGCGCTCAGATCTCTTCTCCAAAGAGAATCTTCGCTTTTCCCCTCCCCCAACCCCCTCCCCGACCAAAATTTTGCCGGGCCGCCCCCCCCCGCCCCCCCCCACCCATGTCGGCTGGACCCAAAATCCTGTCCGGCGGGCCTTGAAATTTTCGGGGTTCGTCGGCGTCCAGCTCCATGGGTCCATTTTTGTCGAAAATGTGCTGACAATTGCGAAAAATCACTAAAAAATTGCTTTTTTGTCCTGAAAAGCATGACCTCCTGGTGGCCAGGCCTGCCTGACGTAGCCTCAGGCCCAAGCTTGTCTGAAAGTCATCCAGCAAGCCCAGCCCAGCGCCCAGCCCAGGCCCGGCGCATCTCTACCCCAAGGTCAGGTTTGTCTAACGTGTCTGAGACTGGCCTCAGGCCAACGACCAGTCTCACGTGTCTGAAACTGGTCTCAAGCTATGCCAGCCACCAAGCCCGTCTGACGTGCCCCAGCCCCTCAGTCCGGCTGCCCAAGCAACTCAGCCCAGGCTGGCCAGGCCTTGACCTCGACTAGCCTCAGGCCCAGTCCTTCAGCCCGCCTGCTGGCGTGTCTTACGTGTCTGCGACTGGCCTCAGGCCCAGCCCAGCCAACTCGCCACCCAGCCTCAGGCCCAAGTGTGTATGACCATCCAGCAGCCCGCCCAAGCACAGCTCAGCCCAGCCCGCCCAGCCCAAGTTCCAGGCACAACCAGCAGCCTGGTCCGGCTGCCCGGCAGCCAGCAACCCGCCCATGGCTTCGCAGCCTCGTGGCTGAGACTAGCTTCAGGCCCAGCCCAAAGCCTGGGCCCCAGCGCATCTCAGGGCATGCCAGCCACTACCGGCCCCCAGCCAGCAGGCTCAGGTTTGTCTAACGTGTCTGAGAGTGGCCAACGACCAGTCTCACGTGTCTGAGACTGGTCTCAAGCTATGCCAGCTACTCAGCAGCCCAGGCTGACCAGGCCCCTTCGGCGCAGTCTGAGACTGGTCTCAAGGTACGCCAGCCTCAGACTGGCCTCAGGCCCAGTCCCTCAGCCCGCCTGGTCTCAGGCCCAGCCTAGCCAGCAACTCGCTACCCAGCCTCAGCCCATCCAGCGACCCGCCCAAGCAGCTCAGCCCAGCCAGCCGAAGTTCCAGGCGCAACCAACACCATACCCAGCACCACCCATGGCTTCGCAGCCTCGTGGCTGAGACTAGCTTCAGGCCCAGCCCAACCAGCAACCCGCCTAAGCCAACCCCACCCAAGCCCACCCGGTTTGAGACTCGCAGGCCTCAGCCTATCTAGCGCCGAGACTGGGCCTCACCAGCCTGGGCTCAACTAGCGTCTAGCCCAGCCCAGTCCGCCTGCTGGCCAGGCCTGTCTGACGTGTCTGAAACTGGCCTCAGGCCCAGCCCAGCCATAGCCCAGCCCCCTCAGTGCGGCTGCCCAGCCCGCCGTAAACTAGCTTCAGCTCAACCAACAACCCACGCAAGCAAGGTCCAGCCAAGCTGCCCGAGACTAGCTTCAGGCCCAGCGCAGGCTTATCTGATGTGTCTGAGACTAGCCTGTGGCCCAGCCCAACCAGGCGAGGCCGGCTTGTCTGACTTGTCTGGAGCCAGCTTCAGGTATTCGGACCTTCCCAACACTGGATTTCGGTGTTCCTGACCCTTCCCTCAAACTAGGCTGGGCCGAGGCGGGCAACGCGAAGCGTTTACAATTAAACTCATCTGGACTACAAAGGTGCCACTATTGGGGGTATGTTCCAAAGTGCTAAGCCCCAAAAACTGGTTTGCGTCCTTCTGGCTCCCTTGAAAACAGCCTAAAAGGGTACCCTTAGCGTACACCTGAAGCCTTCTTGAATGGGACACGTCCAAACATTTGAGTTCGGAGCTGAGGAAACTATGTGGGTATGTGTCAAAGTAGGAATCGGAACCCACTAAATGGATGGTTTCCTTGTGGGATAAACCCCTCAACCAAACCAGCCCCGAGCAATTCCCAACTCCCACCCAATCAGAGCTAACAGGCAACCCAAGGGCTAAGTCAGGCGGCTGCTGCCGATGCAACCAACCAAACAACCGACGGACGGACCGACCAACCCACCCACCCGCCAGGGAACCAGACCCAAGCAAAAACCAGCCCTAGGAAAACAACAAAAACAGTAACACCTCATCCCAAAAGGGCACCCTCATTAAAAACACACACACACACACACCTTTACATTCAGCCAACTAAACAGAACATGTTGGCCCCTGATTGATAGCTAGACCAGTTATCAATGACTTCTGGAAGAACATAATCCCCACAGAACAGGGGACCCCAAAATAAGTGGGGGGAATGGGCAAATCAGCATGGAACAATAACTTCACGGAGAGGGGGCACACGGTGTGATGGTTCCTGGTGTGCCTTTGGGACACCTAGACGGTTGTCTCCTGATATGCCAGGAACACATACAAACAGGAACTTCCGTAATGTTCCTGAAATGTTGTTATTTCATGACCCTTTTGAACGGCACCAAAAGGTGATGTTGAACCGTAAGGAATTGTGGCCTGTGGGGAACCCAACCCGCCTGAAGCATCTGGGGGAGAACAAATCCACTTGCGACCGGGACTGTGACTAAACCTCTTGCCAGTAGCCGATAGCCAAGCATGCCCACACCTAAACCCATGGCACGAACGATGCACATTTCACAGCGCAGCCAAGCACAGTAGCCAAGGTGCAAAAAGATATTGCGAAGGCTCGTCCATCCTGAAATCTGCGTGAATGCGCCATGTGAAGACAAACAACGGACGTCATGCGTTTGAGCTGAACGACTCGTCAACCCTGATTCTTGAATGCATAGTCCAAGCCATTGCATAGGACTCTTCATTCTGAGTTTGCACAACTGAAAGGGGAAGTGTCAACCAAAAATTGAGCCGTGCCAAACTGAGCCAAACCAAGCTGCCGGCTGTCCCGGCATTCAGTTCGGACCTCAAAGGTTCTGTTGCTTTTCGGTTCAAACAACAGGCCGGCTGGCAGCTGCCCTCCGGGACCCTGACCAATAAGCATGCAGCTGGCTTGTGCAACAAGACGCAAGTTCGTTGCGCGTTTCTTCTCACAAAGGCCGACATGTACTGGTGAAGTGACAATGGCACCTTCAAACATGCCAGCTCAAAAGATGCCCGTTTTACACACTCCCAATAGAATCCTTAGGGTCATGCGGGGGGGGCCATGTAGGTTGTCAAGCAGCTCATAAACAGGAATAATCTTGTTGGGCAGTTGGGTTGACTAAACGGACATGCGCCTTCTAATGATTGGGTCATGATGGCTTCTGGGGCATGAATGCTCTGAAGGGGTCATGATGGTTTGTCGTAAATCCTTGATTAGTGTCCAAGCCTGAATGCATTTGTTTAATGGCACCCACGCAAAAGCGAAAGGCACACACCTCTTGAGGCAGTGGGCGCCGCCTTTACACGGGTCTGGCTGATTGCGACCGCCCTGATCTGGCAGAGGATTCTCTGTTGTTGGGCAAAGCGACCGGTCTATCTCGAACAGAAAAAGGCCATGCGATGGTTGCCTAAGGTGTCTACACGCTTTCCTAAAACTCCCATCCAACAAACACAGGCCCCCCCAAACCCTCAGGAATGGTTCATAGCACCTCCTCTGATTGATTGGCTCTAAAACCTTTTTTTGGGGTAGCGGTGCTGATCTCAACGTCTCTGACTGATGACCAAAGGGTATCCCACACTTTGATGGGGCACCTTGCTTTTTTTGAGAGGGCTGCAGGTGTTGTGCAATTCTATATGTAGTGTTTGCGCCGGCTTTGTCTACGCAGCATGTTTAATTGCATTGATTTGCAGCAAAATATGTCCGATCACAGCCTTGTGAATTGTGATTCTAGGTGGCAAAACATGTCAGTGCTTTTTAACAGCTGCAATGTCCCAGGCTGAAACCGCATATTAAATGAGAGAGTCAACTTGCAATTCTGAGATTGTGGCCTTGGTACCTTAGCTTGGCATTTGTGAAAGCGAGTGCCTGTTTAATGTAAATATATGAGGATCCAATGCGTGAACTAGATTTAGGCAAACACATACACCGGAAATACCAGTGAAGTGGCTTAGGGCGTAGTCTCAATGTGAAACCAGCATGGGACATACCTACCAATAATAGAAAGGGATGACAGCCACATATAATGACCTTCACTTAAAATACAAGGACACCTCAGCTGTAGTCTTTCCACTAGATCAAACCAGCCCAAAACCGGCTGAGTTTCTTTTTCTCCTAGCCCTGGCATTAGCCTAACCCTGGCACAGCCTGGAGACACTAACGGACAAAGATTTGGGGTAGGTTTAGGGTAGGCTTGGGGTAGTCCGTTCAAAGCTGGTTCAGGCCCATCGTTTTAACATCCTCCGCATCGTTTTCAACATCCTCAGCATCACCAGGTTTTGGTTTAGGCTGGGTTTAGCAGATGGTTCAGTGCTGGTTTATGGTGGGGCTTCTTGGGGCTGGTCTCGGGTAGGTTTAGGGCCGGTTTCGTGTGGGTGTAAAATTGGCTTCGGCCGCCAGCCAGCCAGCCAGCCAGCCCACCCACCCACAACCAACCAACCAACCAACCAACCAACCAACCAACCAACCAACCAACCACCTGCCAGGGTTAGCCCTGTGCCAGGACTAGGGGGAAAAAAACACCCTTTCCGCCCAAAACCCAACAAACAAAAAGCCTCGAGAAAACCACACAAAACAATCCAAACAAGCAATCCTCAACCAGTCTTTCCGCTGGACCATACCAGCCTGAAACCCAACACCAAAAACCACCCCGACAGAAAGGCACAAACAATGAAACCAACAAACCAACATTGGAAGAAAAAAAAGGTCGGAAAATTGTGTGTTCTGGATTCTGGGGTCTGTTTGGTTTTATCGATGTCTTTCTCGGGTTTTGGGCTGGGCTGATGTCTGAGGATTGCTCTTGGGGTTGTATCTGAAAAAATGTTCAAGGTGTTTGGTTTATTGGCTTTCTGAAGCTTTTTGTATTGGACCCTTGTCATCTTTGCATTAGTTTGTATACGCATCTATGAGCGCACCGGGGCACAGCAAGAGCCGGAAATGCATATGCATGGAACATGCACTCCCACATCTGTTTTCCTAAGCACGCGATGCTAAACGGGACCTGTCAGAAGCTCTCTGTGCGGTTTGTTATTTCACAAACCGCAAATAATAGTTTCCCAGGTACATACTGGGTCTTCCAGTATTCATGAGCTCGTTCTGCACCTCACCCCCAGTTACCACCCTCTAGATGAACCCCCAAAACAAAACACATGTCGAGGAACCTCCTTTTTGCGGGACTACATTATTCTTGGCCCACTGGGGGCGAAAATCATCGATCTTTCCTGACTCTGTTCCAGTTATGTTTGCCCTGAAGCTCAAAGCTATGTTGGGAGGGGACCCTAGGTTACCTTATCGCATTCCTTGGCACCCGCAAGCGGCAACCTACCCAGTCGTCCTACCAAGCCTAAAATAATTGTCTTAGAGGAGACCCCTGGACAGAACTCCGAGGGCAAACAACTCGGGACCCCGGCAGCACTGCTTTCAAGCGCAGCTGCCGCGTGGCGCGCCAGAGCAACGGCCGCATGCCGCACCTCGGGCTGAATCCTGAATCTGATCCGAATGGAACTTGGATCCGGGTGTCCACATGCCCCAAAAATGTTGTTGTCCCTTTGGATTTCCCTTAAAGTCATTGGGTTTCTGGTTTGAAGACTGATATGGCACGCAATTTCGGGCCAACCCAGATTCCTGACAGGAAAATCCGTGCGCTGGGGAATGCATCCCAGCATCTCTTCTGGGCAAAAGGTGTTGTACTCCACATCAGTGCACATACCTTGGAAAGAAGCTTGCGTCGGAGCCACTTACCTCAGAACCCTGCAAAGCTACGAGGCGTAAAGCCTCATTTGGCCTACGGGGTCTTTGGGAAGGGGTGGGGGCCAGGGGTTGTAGGGTGCCTGTGTAGGTGTGAGTATTCGGCAAGGCCTCGAACAACCAGTAGATCAGCCTGTGTAATAGCCGTTGATGTAGTTAAACTAGACACTCCACAAACAACGGCACACGATGGCAAGCTGCCATGCGCCTGACCCTTCCAACTTTCACATTTGAGATGCTGCCGCCTTGGGCCTTTCGACAAGGTGCTAGCCAGCAAGTCCAGAAAGAGCGAAAATCCTCAGGGACAGTCAGCATAAATTTCCTGATCATTTCCTTGCATGGTGGCACAGTGCAAGCGGCCGTACTCCAATGCGTGATCCCTCCAAAGAGTTCAACTCAGGTCTCAAAATGTCAGCCTCTGAGGGTGTGCTTCATTTGGGTCGTCCCCAAATAATGTAAGACCTAGGCTTAAGCCTCTTCTGACTCGTCGCCCTCGTCACGTGTTAACGGAGCTTGCGCGGAAGTGCTCGTCGGTTTCTGGCAAGTGTGACAAGTTCTTACCTGGCTGAAATGGCTTGACAGTTGCTACAAAAAGAAACCAAAGGACACATTCAGGAAGCCAATTTTGGTAGGGATGCCAACTTCCCCGAAGATGCTTCTGCCGCAGCTACTGCCCGACCGAGCAACAAGTCTAACTCTTGCAGGCCATTCGACATCTGGATCCCCCAAAAAAATGAAGGGTCAAACTGATCTACCCGCTTTACGATAATTCCGAAACTTGAAATTCAGAAAATCGGGTAAAGAACATCGAGCATTAAACTCAGAAGGGCCTCCCAAAGAGAGCCTGACCACGGAGCACATTTGGGAGTGTCTTATAACCTTTTGCGGGGTTGGTTTAAAGAAGCCAAAAGGAAATTGACCAATTTTGGGGGATCACCCTATCCCCAGTTTGATCATGCCACCCGTTTCGGCGTCCTCTGGGTGCTGCCCCGTTGTCGATGCCCAAGTAGGAGCAGGCCTCAAACCTCTGCCAGGGGCGCAGAAGGCTGACAATGCATCCGTCTTGGCAAGAGAGGGGGGCAAAGGCGTTCAGTACTGCACCAAATTCCTTTCTCCACAGAACAAGTAAAATGCCGTCTTGGGTTCTTGCGGAGGGCTGAAATTGAATCCGGCGGACTCCCTTTCTGCACAGAAATCATAATCATAGCTGCACCTGATCAGGTCGCTTTTGCAGAACTACCTGGCTGCGTTCTTTTCAGGGGTACCCTTTTGGGGTGTGGTTCAAATGGAAACCAAAGGACACTATACACAAATCGGTGCCAACTATTGAGGGGGCTGCTTTCGGCACATTCTGACATGACACCCCAGAAGGCAGCCAACCCAGGCCAAACCAATGCTTGGCGAAGAACAGGCTTCCCGGCCTGTTCTTGCCCAATGCCAAAGTTGAGGGAGGATAACACCCATGCAAAGGTCTCTCACCTCGAAAAACCACAAACAACCAGGGGTTAGTGGGTATGTCCAGAAAAGGGCACGCCTACAGCCAAAACAGGTCCGCCCGTCTTGTTTCCTTCCCGGACCATGGAACCTGGAGGGTCCAAGGGCGCAGTGGCGTGAAAAATGGCACACGTCCAACCCATGTTGGTTTGAGGAAATGGAGCACCCCCCAAGCGGTTTCGGGTCCAGAAGCCAAGAAACCCGCAAAACAGGGAGGTGAAACAGGTTCGGCATTGGAACAACGAACGCCTCGCACTGCTGCTTTGGGGATCCTTAGGTCGGGAAACCACCGAACCAGGGACTTTGGACGTGTTCGAAACAGGACCCCCGTTCCCCAGCCGACACCCACGGGCGGTCCGACCGACTTCCGCATCGAAGGCGCGCGGGGTCAAAGGCCAGGTGAAGCAAACTGCTGGCAGCCTGGGACTCGAAGAACACCACGCCGCATGCCATGGCCTCAGATTTTTCTCCGATTTGTCTTAACGGAATCGGGCGGGCCTCAAAATGGTTCCAAACAAAAGGCTTTGGTGGATGTCCCCAACAGGGGCAACCCACCTTGATAGATGATTCAATAGTAGCGTTCATGTTGGTTTCCCTTTAAATCAGCCATAGCCATGATTTCAAAGCTACCTTCAACAACAAGAACGCCACACCCAAATAACAATTTAAGAGGAAATCCATCCCATGGCTACTGGCAAACAACCAGGACAGCTGTCCCGTGCACTCTGCAGCCAACTGGCCGTTGTCTCTGGAGAGCCTGCAGGAAGGCCGCAGTGTTAGCCGAGTGGTTCAGCAACCGCATTTTTAGCTGTCTCGTGGGTCACTAGTTGCTAATGTTGACCGCGGATCAAACTGGTGTCCCCCTCCAAAAGTGGTCTGAACTCAAAATAAAAGGGACAACCCCAATCACAATCAACCAGGTGTGTACCTCAATTGCCCACAGGACCTGGAAATTCAAGGTTAACCTCTGTTGGGACCTTGACCAAAACGGACCAACATGGAGAAACCAACAGGTCAAGTCGATTCGCCTTGGTCAAGTGATCAAGAGGTCAGAAAGTTTAGGTAGCAAGCTCCAAGACAATCTTCGTGCGTTGCCAAGGAAGGCCCAGGGCCTCTGACGCAAGCGGATTGAAGTGGAAACGGAACACATGATCGCGCGCTGGCTGCGGGCCAGGCAGAAGGACAGCGGCCGGTGCTTTTATCCACAGGACTAAAGAGTCTTGCGATGAACAAATCAGCCGTGGTTTATGTGGGGCCTGTCCAAACAAGGGGTCGATATCGTTGACAACCCACCATATATTGAGAAATGGCTTACTCGTGTGATTCGTGTCCTTCCATCTAGGATGTGATGTGCATTAGACGTATATGAAGCAAGATGGCAAAGAACACATGGGTCCGTGTGGATCAACAATAGGCACCATACAAAACAAGGACTAAGACATTCATGCGTAATCTTGACCCAAACCCAACTACTCAGAAATACAAAGTCGACAAGTTGACTGTCAACAACATGCACACTTAAAGGATGTGGAGCTCCAATGACTCTAAAGGCTTAAGTAAAGCTTGGCGAAGGGATACCGACACACAATGTGTCCGCTTTCACGTGCTCCCAGGCCCACCGAAATGAGAGGTGAAACGTGCAAAAAAGACCCCTCAAACCCTCAACCAAGCCGTCACTTTACTTGTCCGGAGTTGAACTTTTTTTTTTCATTTGCTGAAACTGAACCGTCTCACAATCCAGAACTTGGCCTGAAGTGAATAAGATTAAACCCCCGGGATAGATGAATGGGGGGTCCCATGTTTGAGGGAGCCTGGCACTTTCCGGGGAACCATGCAGCTGAATGGCGCACCTGGCAGCGAGGCCGCGCGGAGCTGTGCGAGGCTTTGCTTGAAAAGCACCTGCCGCACCTCGCCGCCTACGGAAGGCGCAGCTTTCAGTCTCGGAGGGGTTGCGTCGAAATAGGGAAATCCCAAAATAGCTTGATTTTTATTTGCAGGCACTGCGCTTGTCTTTTCTGGGGGGGAAACAGCACACCCAAGTCCTTTTGTACTGGCCAGGTTTCTTTCAAGTCATGCTTGACCAAATGATAATGCCGATTTCATGCACGCAGCATGCCTGGGTCACACTGGCCACATGAGCCATCAATTAGCTCACCCTTAATTGGCGGATTCAGGGTGGGCTTTGGGTGGGTTTAAGCTGAGTTAAGTTTCCGTAAAACAGATCTGCGGGTTGGAGCAGTAAAGTGAACCGCAAGCAGTGGGTCAAACATCTTACCAATGGGCTCTCGATGCGGTGCTTGCGTTTACATGGCGACCTTTTGGCCCGAGCGACTGGTTGCGGCGTAGTCGCAGCAATAATGACCCCTTTTCCCCAACAAACATGAAAGCGGACAAGAGGCCTTTTTAAAATTGTAGTCTTCCAAAACCTGCCCATGATTGTTGAAAAAAGAGTGCCGCAGGAGCTAGCAGTGAGGATCCTTCGTACTGGAGTGGGGGGGGGGCGGGTTGCCATGGACACGTGCACTCCATCTTGCAGACTCAACAAAAATAAACCCAATTGAAGGTGGCAAAATAGCCCCTAAGTGTCCATGATAGGGGGCAGTCAGTTAGCTGGGGAAACCTGCTAGTGGGAAAGGTTGCATCTACCCTGCCAATCCACCTGGGTGCATTCTAGTTCACCAAAAGCAAGGGTCCAACAGATTCAACAAATAGTCGCAAAAAGGGGAATGTCCGTACGAAAGTCACAAACAGGTTGCGAGGATTCACCCGCCTGGTGGGTTCAAGTTAAGTTGCACCACTTTGAGAGTGTCCTCTTCTAGGGACCCCCTTTTGACTTTTGTTTTTATAGCGGGGGAACCAAAACAAAAACCATCATTTTTGGAGGATATAACTACCCCGGAATTAATCTACTGTACCATGTACTTTGACCCAAGTGTACTGGACATCGAGTGCTAGATTTCCCTTTGGTGATTTCAACCCCTTTTGGGCCGTGTGTTGTGAAAAGGGCCCTTTCTGGTGCGGGCATTGGCACGTGAAGTCCCTGGTCCATTTCGGCAGTTTTTCATTCACAAGCTGCCTGGGCCGAGCTGGTAGGCGCCGTATTTCAGCGCCACCTCCTCCAGCGGCCGCGCAAGAGCCACAGCGGTGACGCTGCCTGGCAAACAGGGGTTGGTTGTTGGGTTGTTGGGTTGTTGGGTTGTTGGGTTGTTTGGTTGTTGGGTTGTTTGCTTGTTGGTTGGTTGGTTGGTTGTCTGGTTGGCTGTAAGTTGCAACTGGGGCCTTGTGAGCATGGCTGAAACCGGCTAAGTAGCTTAAACACCCAAGTGCCATCCCCAAATGGTTCTCCGGGGTGCTTGCGTGTGTGTCCAACAAAAATATAGGACATGGAATTTGATCCTTGAACTTGCCAGAACAGGTTCGCTGATTTGAAGACTTTTGCCTCCCTCCCACATCGGCACCTGCCAAAACATTCCCTCCAAAGGCAACATTGGTCCCAGTACTCTCCCACAGGTGCTATGTCAATTAGTGAGAAGGGAAGAAGGGTAAGCGCCACAACTCGGTATTGCCACAAAGGGCCTACTGCAAAAGGCCCAAAATGGGTCGACAATTTCAGGTGTCAATCGCTGACATGAGCACATCCAAAACCAGAGATGCGGATTTCGGAGTAAGGGGCCCTATTATGGGGGAGCTCGTGTACCCTTCTCCGGTGAGCTTCGCAACCATAGAATCTGGTCGAACAAATCGAGCATGTGTTGTGCCTTACTCGAGGAAGACACCATTACAGGGTGGCATAGCCTGCCAAAGTTACTCGTTGTGCAAAGAAGAAATCAGTCTCCACTCAGACTCTGGGCGGGTATACCTTGTTGGCTCTCCGGCAAGTCTCCTCGGTACCCTGGATTCCTACAAGCATGCTTCACAATAGAATCCAGGGTCCAAACATCAGGGTTGCTGAAAGGATTCACCCAAAACCACCTGCTTTACCAGCAGCCCTCCAAAAGTGTTTTTTTGACTAGCCAGATGTATCTTTTAAGCGGTCCGGAATATGCCGTGCTGCGCATCAGAAATTCGCGCGCCCCCCCCCCCCGGCCAGCCCTCATGCCCTCATGGGCACAATGGGCCGTTTACCCTGGATTTACCCCACGGCTCCCTAAATGCGGACACACCTCATAGAAACAAGCTACAGGAAAATGTTGCAGGAATTTAGCGGTCAAATTCCTACAAAAAAACATCCTACAGCTGGTCTCTATGAAATGCGTCCTTCGCCAAATACCCACTAAAAGGGTGTCCTAAAAATTTCTGCTGATTTCGTAGACCATCTTTTTGCAACTCATTTCCTCGCTTGAGCCGAACCAGTCTGCCACTGAACCATCCCACTGGGAAGATCCTTAATGGGACTGTCCAAATCTGGGGATGGCTGCTGGACTGAAAGAGGCAGAAGACAAAGAAAACCAGGTTGCCTGTATTTATTGCACCCCTCTGAACATTGCCCAAGGAACCACACTTCAGATCCCTTCAGCAGGGCCTCAGAGTTGATGCATCTAATCATCTTTTAGGGGATGCAGTTGGGATGGAGAATACCCTAGTGGGATGAAGGCACCAACTGGTCCGAAGTAGGTTTTGGAAAGCTGCATAGCTGGCCTCACTAGTTTACCATCGGGTCACCCCCCAAGTGGCAGGTGGAAGGGAAGCAACTCCCTGCTTGACAGCTGACCCCGGCCCAAACCACAAGACATTCAGCGGTGAAACGACCAGCCTTTCTCTCCAGCCGCTTGTCCGAAGCGTTCGCAGAACGCATCTGAGACACCCATGAAGGAGTCCTCCGCAGGCTGACAGTCTCAGGCCCAGCTTGAAACATGGACAAATCAACAAGAAAAGTGAACCAAAACAAAAACAACAAACGTATCCACACAAGTAACAAACAATCAATACCAAATACCAAGATGGGCCCGGATTTCTTGGGGAAGCCCATTTGAAAAAGAGGACCTCTTAGACGACCGGAATATAATAGACATGGTCTCGCCAGTTAATCACAACAATGGCAAGGTTTCTGTCTGGACGACTGTTTCGCCTTTCATTGCATTCTCAAAGCAAAAGAGGGCCATCCGAGCCATCCCTCTGAATTTTCTCCGTGTTCCGAGAGAGCATCCGATCATCCAGCAATGGTCTTTTGCCAGCGATTTTGTTGGGAGAAAGCTTGGGAAGGTGGAGCCTGGCACTTGATTCAAACTACCTTGGGTCCCCAACAGTTGCCCCTGAACATGGGCTGTCAGCCAGTTTGAAAGCACCCGTTCTCTACATGGCGATTTGGAACCCCGGCTCGGTCGCTTGAAGCTCAGCCACTTACAAAAGGGCCCCATGTTTTCTGGTACCACTGCCAAAGTCACCCCTCAAGTCATAGGGAAAAAAGGACACACTCCCCAGTTGCTGACTTTGATAACCAAAAAACTGAAACATGACCCCAAATAGCCAATCTTTGCCCAACATTAATCCCAGGGACACTGGAGGAAAGGAACTGACCACAAGAGTGGTTGAAACTCAAGAAAACGATTTGACTTACAACCCGCCTGCAAAGTTAACAAGTAACGTTGCCAAAAAGCAAGTGAGTGGTGTTGAGCTAATCTGCAGTTTGGAGACGCCAGGCTTCACACCTAGCTTAAACCACCTTTGAAGTGGTGGACATGAATCCTCCCCGCATTCTGATGTGCACTCAAGGGTGCTTATAAACAAATCACCCCCTCATGATTGATCGATTTCCTCTTGGATTCCCTTCAATCTCATTTGTCTGAGCAGATTGGCCAACCAAACTCTAAACTTACTATCTTCCACTCAAAGGTTTAAAGTCCAACACGGAACTCATTGCGTGAGTCAAACTTCATGCCCACCGCTCTCCTGTGAGGATACCACGAAAAGACCCGGTGGGCAGCGCTTTGCAAGCCGCCCCAGGTTTGCCATGAGAAGGTCGATGGTGCTTTGCGCAGCACCTCAGTGGGCCGTGCATCCCCTGGGAGAAAACGCGGGTACACACTGCAAACAAACGAGACGTGGGACCTGCATAACGGAAGAAAAACAATCCTCGCTACCCTCGTACCCAGGGCCCTGTATATTGGGGAGCATCGCTTTTCACAAAGAACTCAAGGGTGGGTATGTTTCAATCCAAGCCACCACCACCACCCCCCCAGAAAAGAAGAAAACAACTTAACAGTTGGTTTTTTTTCAATTGGTACCGCTATCAAGCCAAGGCCGCCTGTCGGCCCATGGCTCAACCAACCCCGGAGCAAAGATCAGGCAGGTTGGCTCACGGGAACCCGGAGAATGTAGATGCGATAATTCCCTGATAGGGGGATGACTTCCCCAACATGTGGGTGTCCTTTTTTAGGTGACCAGTGACCCCCCCCTCCCAAAAAGATTAATAATAACTTGTTTACCCTTTTGTCTTACTTTCCCTTTAAAACCCACCCAATCCAGGGTAATCTCAAAAAAGACACTCCCAATGTGGGAATTGTGCCATTTCACCGAAGACTTCAACGCAAGTTTCAACGAGTTGACGCAAAATGAGGCGAAGTCAAATGTTCAAGCGTCTGGATTCCCCAGCCGACTGCCACGGTGTTTTGAACGTTCGAGCCGGGCGGGGATGCTCTGAACTATGTCAATGACGAGCTGACCCCCCCCTGACACAGAACATGCCACAAGCTGTCCTGCATAGGGTTTGGGTCGGAACCATCCCCCACACACCTATACTATAGGCGGGGGTCGAGTTTTGGGAGTCCCTTGGACGTTGTGAAAAAGCATCAACTTGTCGCACAAAGACCATGCAACGGGATATCCATTCTTCAGGCCTCTGGAAAGGTTGCTTTGCTCAGATGAACCCTTGCCTCAAAAGCTTGCAGTTCTAAGTTCTAACCTTCAGCCGTAAGTAAACTAGGACAATGGAAACCCCAGATTCATAACCTTTATGGCGGTATGTCACACACACAAAAGATGAAGGATCTTCACTGAAAGGGGAGACCCCTAATATCCATCATGGGTTCATTAATCAGGGGTTTGCATCTGTTCATTTGGATGATTTGCACCTTTCCAGTTCCAAAAAGTGCCTTTGCTTTCTTCTGCCAGGGCCCCCCGACAAAGAAATGCAAATGTGGGATTTCGCAGGTTGCCTTGCCACCTGTTTGGGATTCTACACTGCAACCCCATAAACAACCACATAAAAACAACCCATATGGAACCAGGCTCCATGGCAACCCCTTACGAAGGCACATGGACATCCGTGCCCAAGGCCTGAACGGCCCTAGCGCGAATTGGGGATCTCCCAATGTTCCGAGTTGGAAGGGTGGAAAGTGCACTGGACGGAACAAACACGTTCAACTTTTGCATAGCAAGCAAATGCAGTACAGCCAAAGTTGAAAATATCGACCGCGGATTGATCAACTTGCAGCTCAATATATATATATATATACATATATATATATATATATATGTTTCCCCGAACAAGGTGAACGACTCTCTCTAAGATAGCATTTCTTCTAATCCACGGCTTGATCCTGCCCCCCCCAGGAACACTTAGTGGGGCTCCCCTCCATTCACAATTCTATTCCCCTTGCACCCGCATGGCAAAGTGGGGAATGGTCCCTGTAAAGCGGCGTGTAGTGGGGGGGGCCTACCAAATCCAACAGTACTAATCAAGCGAGGGTTCATTTTTCCGGGGTTCCCATTATTGTAACGCCAGGGTGCCATGAGTGCCGGGCAGCAAAGAGAATGCGGGGATCCGCTGATTGGTGCCACCCGTGTGGAGGATCAAGACCTGTCGTCGCTTTCCGTGGCGCAGCCAAGTGATGAGTGGAGGGTTCCTTAACGGACACATCCCCAAACCACCCGCTTTACCGGGAATGCACATCAGCTGGAAAAGGCGATTGTTCAAACGGTCCAAATGTATCCTTTTAGGGATGCATAACAATGCAAGATACATGCATAACTACCATGGTGCTTCTCATGCCTCGCATCAAAGTTCCCCCCGTGAGAAGTCCAAAGCGCCTTTCCGGCCGACTCCAGTTTTTTGGATGGAGGTGAGCCTCCCCCCTTACCTCAAGCCTTGGGCCCTGGACTTCGGGCAGTCCAGTGGCAGTCCGTTGCCCAGCCCTGAAATCGGCGCGGAGCCTCAGCTTCTCCAGCCCCCTTTCCCTTTCCCAAAAAATCTATGCGAAGCCACGCGCTTCGCTTGCAGAATCGTCATGTCCACGCTGTTGTCGCCCTCCGGACGCGGCAACAGCTGGCATTGGAAAGAGGGTAAAAACATAGCCCAGTGCCTCAGTTGCTCAAAGGACCCACAAATAAAAGGTCAACCTTTTTGCGCCATGACAAAAAATGAACAAAACAAGCTGGGGAAACTTTAGGCAAGTGAGTTGGATGAGTTCTCTTTGGTATGACGTGTTCAAAGCGAACAACTCTTCGCACAATATAAGGATTTGTTTCAATTAGGATCGATTTCGGAGCTTGGACCGCGTGAGCGCAAACAAAATGGGACACATGCATGTGCTGCAAGCACGTCTCCAAATTAGCACGGGACATGCGGATTGAATCCAGGCATGCAGCGCATGCGTCATGTCATGACCCTGTACCAGCCACCAGCAACTTGCGATTGGCCAAACGCCAAGCAGGAACCCAACTTTCTGTCCTGAAGCTTTGGTCGACTTAAACAGTCTCGGACGGCTGTCACAAGCGGCTTGCGATGTTCCCCAGACCTAGCCCCACTGCAGGGAATAACGTTACCTGAACAGATCCAAACAAGCTTCATGGTGTCTGAACCAGACAAATCCTTGAGCACCCGCCTCAGTATCTTAAACAGCGCTAGCATTCAGCCCTCGATCTCGGGAACACGTTCCGGCTAAATTACACTGCACCAAACAGTTTGATGGGTGAAAAGGAAAACAACGGAAACCCGAAAGGGAAAACAAAACAAAAGATAATCTTTGGGTCTGGCAAGGGCAACATCCCGCACCGCCCTTTGCACAACAAGCACCCAAGAATCATCCTCGATCATCTGCTCAAGACCTGGGGCCCGTGTCACAAGAGAGAAAACTGGCCCCTGGAAGAGGAAACAAACTGACCCCAATACTTCACTTCCTGAGTGTCTTGGCCGAACAAAGTCCAAACTTGTTGCTTCTTCCAAAGGGAGTGAGATACCTACGTATTGCTTAATGTTGTGCTAACCTCCCGAGGCCAAGGACAAACAAGTCCTTTTGAAAGTTGGCAGCTGGCTTTACAGGGGACCCCCCTTCCAAAACACAAGGCCAAACAAGTCAGCTTTCCCCTAATTCGCGATTTGGTTTGGCGGTTTGGGGATTTGACACTGGCTCTTGTACCCCCAAACCACCAATCCAAACCGATTGGCGGGACGCTTCTCGCATCGCCTGGCGAGCGCTGAGGTGCTCAGCCACCAGAAGCAGGGCCTGGCGGATTGGCCAAGAGTAGGGAGCGAGAATGGGAGCCCATTGGGGGGGATGAAGGGGTCAAACGAGGGAAGCCCCTTCTTTTGGAGCTGATCATTTTGGAACCAACCAGGCTCAAACAACAATTTCAAAAGGATTAAGGATGAAAGGGTCACCAAACAGCTTGCTTTTTTCATAGGGGCACCAAACAGCAAGTGGAAGACGGGAAAAAGGGCGCCCTGGACAACTGGGATCTCAAGACGTGACCCATAATAGGTCCCCAGGCTTACCTTTGAACGTATGCACCCAGGTATTCACAGGCCGGCGGCACCTCCTGGAAGAGGTGTCAGCACGGGGCAGAAAGATTGAATATCGTGCACCAAAAATGATGTGACCTGCAACCAAAGGGAAAAATGTGGGACGGGGTCCTCCATTGGTACGCCAACCCTCGCGCAACTGCACTACTTGGGGGGTTGGCACATGTTCGCTGCGTAGTTGTTTACCTTTGATCGAAGAATGGAGTCCGAGAGAGTTCGATGAGTTGACCCTATGGAACTGCCTATCCTGACAAGCCGATCGGTCCCTTCCAAGCGTGCCAGCAGAACAACATATATACAACACAAACTGAGTACCTGCCAGAACTCGCGCGTTTGCCCTGAAAGCAATGAACATAAACCATCTCTTGAAGCAAATGGATTGCTAGAAGATAACCGTCAGATTCTTGGGGAATTCCTCGAAATATACCACTTCCCGATCGCGATGGCCAAAAGAAGGGTAAACTTGCTGTTTACCACCAAATCTCCAATCCCTCCGGGCTCCTTACATCCCCTGAAGCATCTATTATATATGTAATCCCTGGCCATACCCCCAAATGGTATGGTCCCCCCATTCCCCCGCATCATCCGCATCTTGGGGATGATGCTGGCAATGCTGGGGATGCTGTCCAGTACCGTGCGAGCCCTGCAGCTTCGGTCCCAGACCCCCTTTCACCCCGTGAACCAACACCCCCGCACCTCTCGCAACATCCTACCCTAAACCAAACCACCCTGCAACCCCTCCTTAACCCCAACCCTAAGCCTAAATCAACCCAAAACCCAAACCCACCCGAAACCCACCGCAAACCAACCCTGAACCAACCCTGAACCAACCCTAAACCAACCCACCAAGCCTAAACCAACTCCGAACCACACCCAACCACCCAACCACCCAACCACCCAATCACCCCACCACCCCACCACCCACCCCACCCCCCACAAAAGGGGGGGGGTTGGCCCAACCACCCAACTACCCAACCACCACCCCACAACCCCACCACCACCCCACCACCCACCCACCCCACCCCCACAGGGGGGGGGGTGAAGGAGGGCGTATATATATATATATATATGGGTGTGCGCGTTTTTTGAGGGTACCCTTTTCAGATTGCTTTAAAGTGGAACCACAAAGAACCCCCCCGCCCCCGCCCCTTTTGGCTCCACACACGCCGGGGCCGCGTTGAGCGTGGCCCCGCCGCTGCCGATGGACACGCCGTCGTTTGCCACGTCCACGCCGCTCAGCTCGGGGTCGCTGACGGCCAGCAGTAGCGCCGCCAGGGCAGGGCCTGGCACACGGCGCCTTTTTGCGGCGGCCACGGCCGAAGTAACAAAGGGTTAATAGGTTTAATTATCGCGCTTTCGCCAAATAATGTTGACCCAGGATTAATAAACCCGTCCCATTAGGGGGGTGTTCCCTCCAAAAGTGGTCTGAATCCCAACTAAAAGGGGACACCCCCCCGATTAATCAACCAGGCGTTTGTTCATCCGGCGTTAACACTAAGAAGAAATGGGTCCTGGTCTCGCATTGGATAGGTATGAATCCGGTAGTATGTCTAGGTCCTCCAGCAGAGAGGGTATATGATTTTTTTTGCTGTAGTCTATTTCAGTAGGGGAACCCTCCCCCAAAAAAGAAACGGTAAAAGGGCACTACTGGGGGACTTAGATGTGGTAGTTGGTTTCAGGGACGTGGCCTTGAATCTGGGCAAAGTACTAGTCACAAACTGCAGCTACGAAAGCCGCTAGTAAACAGCTTGCGTGGGTGAGCTCCGAATAAAGAACTCACCCCTTGCGGGGGATGACAAGCAACACCTGGGGGTTGAACACCGTATCTAATCACTGAAAAAACATGCATCACACTGACAACTACTAAGATGTGTTGGATTGCCAGGCATATCCATGGATGCTTTCCTCCAAATGAATAATGACTCTCATTTAGTTTCAGGGACAGGTCCATGCTCAAATGCCGTGCGCGAACATTGAGCCAACCAATATCGGTGTCAATTTTGGGAATCCCCAGTGGGGAACCCTCAAAACATTAACATGACACGCCCATATTGAAGTTCTATACCTCCTCAAAAGCCCCACGCGCCCGAAGAGTGCCTTGTGCCATTTTCACAACAAACCTTTCAGGGGAACTGTCGCTTCCTACCCAGGGGTGGCTTTGGGGACACATGTCCTAGCCGCCAAGTGGGAGAACTCGTGTCTACCAACTTTGTCTCACTTGGGCAAAGGACATAAAATGCAAGCATGTGCCTATCTATGCTCTCTCTCTCCCTCTCTCTCTCTCTCTCGTTTCATTTTGTTCTCTCTCTTTCTCTCGAAAATAAGAACAGGTGGCACGTGCACGTCAACACAATCAGCAGGGCTCCCTATACTTCCTTACTCATCACCCTTCGAGAAAAGTCACTGTGGCCCCAAGGTGATGCCTAAAACAAGCAAAAGAGACCTGCGAATTATTTGTTTCAAAGCCTCGATGTGTGGCTCCTGAGGTAGGCACAGCATAGGCCATGATCCACGATGTATACATACATTCTTTCTATATGCATATGCTAAGGAATACATTTGTTTTTTTTATCTACAAAGAGTATACATATATATATATATATGTATATGTATATTATTTTTTTACACCCTCTTTCCAACAATCCCACATGTCTTCCCAGAGCTTCCTTCATTTCTTTGACGGAGGGTATATGAGAACGTAAACCGTGTAATCATATCTAAACTAGGCTGGAATTAGAACCCCAGCAAACAAATAGCTTTTTTGCCTAGTGGAAAACAAAGGGAACCCCAAAAAAGCAAAAAGGGGAGCTAATTCTGAGGAAGTAAATAGATATTGGCAGTTATTGGCACCGTATTCCAACACGTCCCAGGCGCTCGCCCGCCTCGCCGTAGCAGCTCCTTGCGATAGGCCTCCGCGTGATTGGGCACCCGCGCGGTGATGCACACCGCGTCCCAACGGACCTCGTCCCCGCCTTCGGGCGCTCGGTTGGGATTGTGGGTCGGTTGCTCAGACCCCTCATGAATGTCCACGGGAAAAAAGGCAACTCTTTTGGCAATTGATTTACAGGGAAACCCCTCCGAAACAAAGGAAAACGGGCGCCACTGCATGGGGTCTGGGTCGTGCTGCAGGTGTCGTGTGTGTGCCCCCCCTCCCTAGCTGCGACAATTGGATCATGCCAATTCACCTAAATTCACCATCGATCTACCAGAAATGGCTGCATGCGGTCGGTGTTCATGGGTGCTCACCCAACTCTTCAGTACAGAAAGCCTCGGAAAGGAGATGGGCACAAAACCAGGAACCCCTTTGTGGAGCAATCAGTGGCACGAACCACAATGCTTTGCCAACTTTCTGCAGCGGGAGGATGAACACATCTGCGGTTGGCTAAGTGAGAGTGAGGGAATGCTTAAATTAAACGACGAACACACGCTGCAAATTCTAGCTAGGTCAAAGGTCTGCAAACACCCCAAAGAAGCTGGATTCCTTGTGGGTGTCCGTCTCACATCTTCTCACAGCATCTAAAGGGTGGGGGGGAATTCAAGGCACGCCCATCTGAGCCACGGTGAACATATGGGTATACGTGTTTTGGTTTAAGGGTTGCCCCCAAAGAGAAAGAAAGAAGGAACAAGTTGTCGGTTGTGTTCCCCCGTGTGTCCTTTAACATCGCTAGAGAGCAAACTCATGGCTATCACAAAATAAGCCCCAGCAGCACCCAGCTCCCTACGCGTCGGGGCCTGAAATTCGGGACCAACAGCGCCTTGTCAATCGCAACCCATTATATATATAAACTATATATATATATAAACTATATATATATATATAACCAACAAATGTTTAAGTCCACTTACTGTTTATGGTTGGGACTGTCCCTAACTGTACCTGCTCATCCTTTTACCGGGTTTGCTTGTGGCTGACGATTCATGACGGAGGTCGAACATTTGTACCGACCGATCCCACGCAACGCAACGGAAACCACCACGCGAGGCATATGCAAGGTATGGGGAGCCCTGATCAAAAGGTGTTTGAACCGCCGGAGAAGAATGCCCGCCTGCCATGCTTGCCGCAGGCCCAGCGGTCGCTCCATGGCGGGGGGGGCGGGGGATTGGAGGTTGTTGACCGAGGATTGCAGGTTCCAAGTGCAGCATATGTCTACATAAATCAAGGGGCAGCAAAATCAGTCCTCAGACATGGAAACTCGTCTTCAAAAGCAGGGTTGGTATGGGTGGGAGTTTTGTTAGGAATAACATTTGAAAGCTCGGCACGCTCCCAAATAACATTCAAGCTTACAATGCTCATTGAGTCGCATAAACAACGGTAAGTCGTTTGCCTGCAACAAGCATAAAGAACGAGCTGCAGCACTGCAGTTGCTCTGCCTTCAACATTCAGTCATGCCCGGCGCAGTACCTTCCTACCCCTTGTAAGGCGATGGTTGGGCAAATCACGGCGAAGGAAATCACAAAGGGCAAGGTAAACAGTTGAACAATTGCCGTGGTGTGGCTACTCCCTCAGCGACTGAGGAGCCCGGCGAGTCGAAGGTTGCGGCATATCCAAGCATATCCCGAGATTCGACATGTCGGAGTCGCTCCAACTCCGATTCGACATGTCGAGTCCCAGAAATTGTTTTTGAAAAGGGACCCCTCAAAAGGGTTGGCCTATTAGTTTGCATTCCAACCATTCAAGAGGGGTCCAGGTCCACTCTTCTGGCTGTTCAGTATCAAGTTTTATCCATGCTCCTACAAACAAAACCAATCCTCTAGCAGCCCCTCAAAAGCAAGGACTAAGGATTGCCTTCGAACAAACAACCTTTTAGTGGCCCACCATCAAAGAATCCTCGGCCTCATGTCCAGACTTTGTTGACACCCCGCCGCCCCCGCCCCTCCCAAAGTAAAATGGCAGGCGACCTGAACCCAAGCCACGACCAGTTCAGCTCCATGACTCCTGCTGAGTGACTAGGGGGCATCAACCTGCATCTATTTCCGGAACTTGTAGTTATTCCCCACGTCTCGCAAGATGGCAAACCCATGCCATAACAGCAGCCAAAACGTAGTGGCTGGATTCAAGGCGGTTGCCGGACCACGGGGGGAAAAGCAGCGGGCCCCCCTATTGATGTAGAAAGCCTCAAGGGCGTCCTGTCTGTTACAAATATATGCTTATATACTTCCAGTTTGTTGATAGATTCCAAATTACAACCAAGAGGGGAAATCAAGCACATGTAGTTGGTTCACACTCACATGGTCTTTCCATTGAGAGCGGAAGTGTAGAAACTCGGGGAAAAGGTATCCCATTTGGAGCCGTACCCATTTTGAGACGGGTCCACGCGGCAGTGCCTGTCGCAGGGCCGCCAAGTCGGAGTTGGGCGCCGGGGCCTTCGCTTCGCGATTCGAAGCGATTCGAGACGACGGCTTGAGTGTGGCCGGTTCCTTTTCGCATTGGCGTCATATGATTTTGACTGCTAGGGGTTTTCCATCCAAACGTACAATGGGGGGGTGATTCATTGGGGTCACGATTTTGACGATTTCCGTTTAAAACCACCACTCAGTCTCAGGGGGTGGCTTTGATGCGAAGATAATGGGGTCAGTCTTGGGTATGGAGCTTGGGTTCATGTCCACCAACCTCTCTTGCAGGTCCCTTGTGACAACTCCTGTCCTTTGGGCGAAACAAGGAGGGCGCCTCAAAAAGGGGCTTCTTCAGGCCTAGGTGGAGCACCTGAGCTGCTGCAAAGTGTGTTAAAAAAGAGTTCAGGTACTGTCAGCAACTTTAAGCGACTTTCAGGCGGTCGTGAATAGTCTCAAGCTAGGACGAGCATTTTGCCGGAGATGCGAAGTTGTCTTACAAACTGACCACAGTTTGGTGGACATGTCTGAGTCAAGGAACTCGGGTGTAACGCACGAGCCTCTTTTTGTCTTTCCCAGCTTTCCAGGGAAGGCTCTGAGAATAATACGTACCTCGAAATAACATAATGGGGACTTGGTAGAGCACCTTTTGCAACCTTGACTCACAATGGAACACATAACAACTTCAAAGGTTAAAAATAGATTCGTTTTGGGCAGGTGTTTGCCAGAAAGTTATCAAGCCGGGCCTTCTGCAGCGTGCGCTCCAGGCTTTGAAACGCCTCGCGCGGGTTTCTTTTTCGGCGCAGGCTCCCATTTTGGCGGGGTTTAGTTGCCTTCCTGGAACGCTTCACGTACTTGCTGGTCATGTTCAGGCAGCCAAGTGGGGCCCAAGAACACTTGCGTTAGATGGCATGGGACGCTGACGTCCGCTGAAGTTTCGCCCAATCTGCCAACCATCCACCCCAAGCAAAGACAGGTAGCGAGTCCACTCCACAGGACATAATACCATCGAGTCCGCTGGCGTCCAGCTGGCCCTCTTGCTGCCGTTTGCAATAGGAAGCCAACAGCAAACCACAGCGGTCCATACTGGTCCATGGTTTTGACATACCATCTCTGACATTGAGGTCACTTCTGGCCAATGCAATGGCGTGAGCCCTTCATAGTTTCATGACCCAACACTCATTTGACCAAAAGATCTTATGCCACAACTCTGATCGCTTGTTGGTCGATTGGCGAATCATGGCAGGCAACCTCCAAAAGGCAGAACGGCCCCACCAGTTTGAACAAGTCAGGGGATTGGACTCCGAGTTGAACCAGTTTGGGAGATCCTGTGTTTCATGTGGAAATTGTATCCCAGCTCCGCCCACCCACAAGGAAGCCCACACACAGTCCGAAGCCAGGCTTAGTAAACCTTCTGAACTATCAAGCTAACCCAACGGGGGCGGTTCATCAACTTGAGAAAGGGCGCGTGTAACACTCGCTCCTAGGGCCTAGGGTGCATGGATTTCCTGAAAACATCTAGCTGGCTCCTTCTTCCGGCAGCAAGTTGAATGGAAAGCCATTTCCAATAGGTCTCTCTGCGGCCTCTGGGGCCTTTGGGGTGAGCCGAACAGGCAAACCCGGTCCAAACTCCCATGGCGAATAAATCCGATTTCTGTGGGCCCGCCCGCAGGGCGATGGTCCAGCCAGGCTCTGCAAGCCTCAGGCAACAGGATGACTGGGACTGGGCTCGCTTAAGCCGTGCTGGTTCCAGCCACTACGCTCAAATACCAGAAGACACACAATCAACATGCTGGTGTTGAACAAGTCCAAGAGGATCCCTCCTCTTGGACTTAACATGGCGTTGGAACAAAAAACACTTGGAAAACGCATCAGTGAATCCAAGTGCGGTATCCCCGAAGTTTAGTCGGCGATTTAGATGGCGGGGCAAGCTGCAGCATCTGAAATCCTCCCTGTCCAAACCCCTGAGCATATTTGGGCATAAACCCAAATCTTTCAGTTGTTGGGGAACGTGGAACATACGCAACACATACAGCACAGTCCCAGATACAAACGGCTTGCATTCGGCTCTCAACAAAGGGATGCCTCATGCATGGCTGGCTACCCTCTTAACATGCTTCCATCCCCAGGTCTCTACCAGTAAAAGTGTCTAAGAGTAAACCACCCAATCTTCTGGTATAGGAAGCATCTAGAAATACGCAAATGAACACGCAAATACATTCAGACCTGCAACTTCTGTGGGTACTGATCGGTGAAAGGGGCCTAGCGAAGTGTTCACCAACGGCCGCATGTTGGTTGGAACAAGCTTGAGGACAAGCTCTGTGCCCGATAGAAATTGGGGGAATGACCCCTGAATGTTGGCTAATGGCCCCATTGTTTAGGGTCATGGAGGCTCCAGAAACTCTAGGTAGGCACGCACATTCAAAGTAATATACATGCAGCGTGTATATGTAAATATTTGTGACATCTAAACATGCGATGCATCTGACCCTTGGCACAGGCCCCCCCGCAGACCACCAAAGCGATAGCAGAAGTTGACGAGCGCCTGGCCAAGGTTATTGTTAGTTCCAGGGCGTCGTACTTATCAGAGGGCACTGCCCGACCCTCGGTATGGTAGCAACAAGGTTGTTTTTGCATCCCCTCCCCCCAAACACAAAGAGAAATGACCTGAAAACCTATAAACATGCCAACAACAGTGAATGAAGCCATTAGTATTTGTGTTAGCCCCGTAGTCTCAGTTGAACCTTCTGGGACCTGAAAATGAAAGGTTCACCTTTTGGGGCCTCATGGAACCAAACTGGACAACCGAAAGGCTAGATCCCGTCGATTCGCTTTGGGCAGAGACAATTTACCAGGGAGACCATCTTCTAGGGTTGAGGTTGAATGAATCCTAGAACCTATGTGGCATGCCGGGGCCCACTTTCTGTTCAAGGGGTTCTTGTGTTTTCTGACTCTGTCTGCCGGCTAGGGGGGGTCCACATGCATCCGATAGCAAGAGAAAGCAACTAATGCCTGTTCAAACATCTGCCCGCTTTCAACGGCCAATTTCCATGGACCCCTTTGACCTCAACTGGGGGTTGCCTGCAGCAACGTGGGCGAGGGTGCAAATCCGCATTGTGAGGACATGATAATGGCCATGATCAGCGAAAATGCACGCTAACTATCCTGACAATGGCTACTATAGAACCCAAAACGCACACCAGAATCGACCTTTGATTCGAGGCTGAATGGCAAGCCGTTGCAGGCTGACACTGGAATCGGCGTGCTTGCCTGCGCAACAAACCATGACTGCAAGCGTGTCCACGCGTAGTTTGCTGCACCGGCAGTGCTGACGAGCCAATGCCCCGAGACTTGTAAGTCTGGATCCTGACGCGAAAGTTGAATGGCCTCATGCTCGCAGCATGCATGAAGGGTGAAATCGTGGGCGGGCTAAGGCGATAATCGAAATCGACGGCTCGCAGGCCAGGTGTGCTTCCCAAGTGTTCATAGGATTTGATCTAACCCGAACTGCTGCACAGTAGCTCAGTTGCTCCAAGCCCCCCTGCGCAAAAGGTCGTTGGACCTTCTTGTAGGTCGAATGGAAAAGCCATTTGGGTGTGTCGTCTTCTGGGGGAACCTCTTTTTGGTTGGTTTTAAAAAGACATTCACAGGAACTCCAACCATTTTTGGGGTCCGATTCCTTAAAAGGAAGCGCCCTTGTCACAGACTGGCGCCTTAAAGCACAGCAGGTTCTTAGGCGTGGGCGTCGCGCCTCAGGTTTCACCCGGAACGAAACCAGGTGGCTTTTTCAGCCC